AAGTTCTATATAGAACATTTTTTGCACTCTTTTGGTTTTGAAAATGTACAAATTCTCGAAAATAAATCAAATAAAACAAAAGAACTATCCCTGAAATGATACATATTAAAAAAATATTAAAACAGACATAAAATATTTATCTAACGTTTATTTTAATTCTAACTAATTGATATTTTTTAAATTTGTAAACACTCATGTTTTTGTTTTCCTACTGTATATATCTTGTTAAATCTAATTATATTATTTCGAATACACCTCCACACGCTGTAAAACAAAAGATGGGGCTTTAACTGTTTTAAAAAATTACATGTGTTTTAGTTCCTCATGTTTTTAAAAATAATTTACTGAACCAGAAGATAAAGAATATGTTATCCAAAATATATCTGTCGCCTATAAAATAAAAAATTAAATAAAAATTTATGACCTAATAAACCAAGGCACTTTATTTATTTAAAGTAAAAGAAATACGAGCAATACCCAAATATCTATTTTTGGGTCTTTATTCAAAGTACAACTAAACGTCGGTAAAATAAACACATGTGGTTTTAAGGTCTAAAAGGGGCTGAATTTTACACAAACTAGTAACATTTCATGCAATTTTAAACGGATCAGTGTTGTCAAACTTACAGAGTTCACGAAAGACGCTATTAGTATTTTTAAATTATTCTCAGTATACATGGTGTATATTGGGCGGATGCCATCAAGGGTCATATCTATACGGATGCCACGGACGACTACAATTCAATATATATATATATATATATATATATATATATATATATATATATATATATATATAAACAAGAAACCTTTTCGAAAACAAATTATTCACAGTTATCAGGTATCAAATTTTGATTCGTACATAAATAATTCTAGTCACTAGTAATTACCACATTTTTGCTTTGTTAGCTAACCACTTCTAGATAGCCATAGGTAGTTGAGATTTCTGCCCCTCGGAAACCAACGCCTTTGTCGGTTACTCTTTCTTCTTATGAAGCTTCGAATTGTAGCTGTCGCTTTTCCAATTAACTCATGTTTCACAAGAGATTTCTGCTCCTCGGGAACCAACGTTCAGATTACAGCGGTTGATTTATGGCAGTTGAGTTATGGCTCTATGGCTTTATGACCTTATGACTTTATGGCTTTGTGGCTGATTCCATCGTTTGCTAGACACAAATAGATTTTGTTTTTCACGTGGTTCTGTACGATATATACATTTGAAACATCTACTTTAAAAAAAAAATGAACCAATCAGATAATAAAAACTAGTGACTATACATATTGTGCCGTTCTAGCAACCAGAATGAATCATAAAAACACATTTAGCTTTACTATCCAAAAAAATAATAATTAACAAAAGGTTTGAATAATATTTCTACTGAGATATTTAATAAAGACATTATATACTTTTTATGCTTACCACTTTAACAGCCAATGCACCACCGATATGATCAAAAGGTAATAATAAAATGAAATTTACAAATCTAATTTGAGATCGTTTGGTAGTGGTACTCCCACTTCGAGAAATTTCCCTTTCTTTAGAATATTGTGTGTTTGCGATAATTAAATTATACCGGATGGCACACATTTAAAATAACATTTTATAATTAGACTTTTAAAATGTTACATCCAATCCAATTAAATTTTAATAAAAAAAATGTTAACTGGACTTTGATAGGTGTAAATGGTTTAGGGGCTTATAATAAATAAACAAAAAATAAATGCAATCTGGGGAAGATTGAAGTAAAATTTTAGGAAGTTGAAAAGGGCGAAATAGTATATTACATTACGAGTGTGGAAAATCACTTTTCACACAAGTGATGTACAATATTTTTCGCGCCTCGTGCGACTATCACACGAGTGTGGAAAATCACTTTTCACACAAGTGATGTACAATATTTTTCCTACGACCACAAAATAATGTCATCAAAAAAATGTAAAACCTAGGTCAACAAAAACTAAAAATAAACAACTAAAAAAACGTAAAAGTTATCAGAATATTCGCTAAAAACAACCAAAAATCCAAAACGACAAATTTTTGTCGTTTGGTTCATTAGAATTAAACACATACTAAAGTAATAATTATAGAAAATTCTTACTGTGTTCATTATGTCAAATAGATTATTTTAATAAGAAATAAGTACTGTAGGTACAATAATGACAGTCACTACATAATAGCAAAAGCAGATGACCTGGTCATTCTGCAAATAGGAAATTTTGAGTACAATTATGAAACAGTAGTGCAAGGACCATTTACTGTTTTTCAATTCAAGAAGACAGAAATGGTCCTTTTCACAAGGAAAATGATGAAAATTGAATTAAAACCTACAGAGCACCTAAACACAAAACAAAATTTTGCAACTAGTGGTGAAGTACCACGTCACTTTTGGCGAGACGTCACTTTTGGCAAAAGGCGCTCGATATACTGCCACTGCTTCAAGCGAACATGAACTTCATCTCAGCGAGATATATCTTCCATAAGCCATCTGAAGATATAACAACAAATTGAAGAGTCGCAAGTGGCAGGTACGATTCATATCTACCCCGGCGGTTCTAAAAAAACAATTCGCAGGATGTGGAATATAATCCAATTCCTTAAATCTCAACATAAAATGGGCTGTGATCAATAGTTCTAATGTAGTTCAAACCAGGGAGCTTTTAAGTTATCCTGACAACACTACAACAAACAAATACTTGAATATGACTAGACAGAATCTGCGTCTGATCATAGACATTCTGACTGCTCATTGCCAAGTACGGAAGCATCTCCATTTTGTGGTGCTGCTTCCTGTACCCTGCAGGGGGCGCGAACAAAAAGATGAGATTATTTAGCATATCCTCTACGATTGCCCGTCGCTCTCATTTATTAGAAGATTTGTTTTCGGCGAGTATTGGCTAACACCGGCCGATATAAGAGAAGCACCTCTTGTCGACGTCAACTACATTAAATCTGTAGACTGGCTCACAAGCTAGGAGGTGCCTATCATCTTAGGAGGATACACAATGGGCCTAGTGAGGCTTAAGTGCGAGGCCCGCCACGCGTTACATATCCATAAGTACTGTAGGTAACTGCATTTCGATTGCATTCTGATGCAGCGACTTGGTTTTTCGAAGTGAATTTGTCATATATTTTAATTATTGTTTTGTATTATTGTTTATTTAATGTTTTAATTTGATTGGTTTGAAAATCAAAAAATAACATATTTAATTAAAAGACTAAGTAATTAAACGTAGGCGTAAATTATCATTATAGGTACTTAATACTGATTTAGAATTAAACAAAAACATTTACAGTTAGATGCAAGAACATTGAATAAAATTTACAAATATGTAATACAAATTATAAAACTATCTAATTTCTTATTACTACTTAGTTAAATACAACTACTTAACTATACTGCAATTTTCACAAAACGCTAATAATAACATACTAAACGTTGCTCTACATACATTGACAGCTATATTTGACGTTAAACCACCTCTAAAATACTGAGAAAACTTGGCAGTTTTTTGTCCACGAATCGTCCATTTAGTTTCACTTCTTGGGTAGGTATTCTTTGCTTTATACATTGCGCAACTTGTATTTGTATCCCTGGCGCATTCAGAATCAATCATATTAGCCCAAGAGTCCACTGCAAATTTTTACCCTCATCTGATAACGAAATGAAGTATTCCCCAAAAGCATGAAAAACATTGTGCTTTAGTAAATCCCAATCCTGAGCAAAGTGGATAATTTTTTTTATTTTATATTAAAAAAATCACATCAGGCATGACAGCGCTAATTTTGTTTGCCCTTAAGGTTTTCCAGAAAATAACATATTCAAATCTATCTTGATATATCGTTAAAGGAAAACATTTTCTTTCTCTTAACATCGCACAAAAACATCTATCCACGATTAGTAGGTAAAAATCATTAAAAATATGAATCAATTTTTAACCGACTTCAAAAAAGGAGGAGGTTCTCAATTCGTCGCAATTTTTTTTTTATGTATGTTCAGCGATAATTCTTTATCACGGTGTCCGATTTCAATGATTTTTTGTTAGAAAGGGGGTACTTCAGGGGTGGTCCCATATAAATTTGGTCAAAATGTAATAATTGGGTCCATGAGAAAATCCTCAAACTCTTTATTTTTGATGTATGTTTAGCGATAATGCTTTACCACTTTGTCCGATTGATATGATTCTTTTTTTGTTAGTAAGGGGGTACCTCAGGGGTGGTCCCATATAAATTTGGTTAAGACGTGGTAATGGCATCTGCACGTTATTGAAGTCAATTTTTTTAAATTTTTAATTTCTAATACTTGTTGTGATTTAAACATTTGTATGCCTATTGTTGTGATTCATTTTTACAGATTGCCATAGAAACGACAAAAAAAACTACTATGATTATGGTTTAAAAGAATTGTCTAACAACAGTTTATAATTATTATGGACTATCTCTGCAAATGGTTTATACAATGCCACCCTTCTTCCTTTCACACTAATCTGGTGTTCCGCCAATTTTGCCCAACCCTGTATATGCGACAGTGGACACAAAGACAAATTAAAAAGCTTGAAAATGGTGGCACTGCAGCATTCATAATGGTCGGTAAAAAAAAAGAGCTAACCAATAGGAATAGTTTTTAAAAACGAGGACCACCAGTGTGAACATTCTTCTACGAGTATAAGTAACGCCAATGCTTCGCCGACCTGAAAATTCGACGTGATAATACTTCTCAACGTGTTTCGGTTTTTCGTTCAAAATCAAATCGTTTCTTTTGTTCATTTATGCTGAGTTCGCCCCGTGGGGGCCTCAATCTCGATAAGGTGGGAACCACCAATTTAATTAATAATTTTGTGATAAATTTTATAGAAAATTATATCGTTTCTCGATTATTCCTTATAACCATACTCGCTGATACAGTTTTTTTTTAAACTAACGCAATTTTGAAAAAATTCGTCTGTTTACTCACAGAAGTATTTTTAGTAGTCGAAAAAACACTAAAATCAGCAATAATAATAGGAAACCGAAAGCGATGCCAAAACCGAAAATTTTGATTCATCTTTCGAGAGGTTTTCTAGAAATAGCCGCATTGGTGTTGCATTCGTCTACTAGAAACATTCTGCTGGTGTATATAATCTGATAATAAGTGGATCTAAATCAGTCTGATTGCTGAATTCAGCCGTAAGAAACTCCATTCCAGATAAAACAAATCACTAAAGACTATAAAGGTAAGTAAAACAATCTATTTTAGTAAAATACAAATCGGAGTGGAAGCAAAATTATTTTCATGAAATTTTAATACATTCGCAAAGCCGTTTGGGTATTGTGTAGAGTTTGTGACTGTTTTCCAGTTCAACTTAAGAAACTGTAGTGTAATTATAGTTGTAAAAGAGCAAAATTAATTGTCTTCATTTTTTAAATTAATTTTTGAATAGTATTTTTTTTTGTTTAAACAAAGGAATTCTGATTTTTTTTCATTTCAAGCTATTAAATTGATGTGTTATTTGAAGAGATTTTTTATATTTCGTACATTTATGTCTTTTATCTTATTGAATACAGGGTCTTTTGAAATAATGTTAAAAAAATTGGATATTTGTGAAAAAAATTTTTCAAGTAACATTTTTTAATGTCCATACAGTCTAAATTCATACCTGCCTTTCTGACATTTTTTTGATAGAAGAATATGAACCATTAAAGAGCTTCGTTGCCGAGGTACAGAGTGTTAAAAGTTTGATATCAAAATTCATAATTTGCCATAAATCAAAAACGCATTTAAATATTTTGTTTCAAATTTGATCTACCGAGATCTTATCAAAAAAAAACGAACTATTAAAAATGTTACGACACATGCTTACTAGATTTTTACAACATTGTTCATTTTAGCTCCATAAATGGTTATTACTATTTTAACAAAAAATTAAAAGAGAATTAAAAGAATATATGTGTGTTATGGATTCCCAAGTGATGCAGAACATTTTATTAAAAGTAATCGTCTTTTTTTTTTTTTTGAAAAAATCATAAAACTTTTTCTCATCTGGACAAAAAATTTTAGGACACACCGTATAGATTGTGACGTGCAGTTCGAGCACGTCGTTAACAACACAATCAGAATACACTTTCTTGTTAACGACGTCGCAATCTGTTATACAGTGTCTCCCAAAAATGCGAAAAAGTTTTGTTTCTCAAAAAACAATAATTATTAATAAAAAGGTCTGCATCACTTGGAAATCCATAATCGAGTATTATTACTTTCGTCTTGATTTTAAGAATTCAATAACTTCCAAAAAAAAATCCTATATTTCGATTTTTCTTGTATACCAGCTATATTTTACAAAGTTTGACTATGGATTCCCAAGTTATGCAGAACAATTTATCAAAAATAATTGCCTTTTTAAAAAGCAACACTGTTTCTCATGTGTATAAAATTGTTTTTTGAGACACATTGTATAATATATTGTGACGTGCTCCTCGAGCACGTCGTCATGAACAATATCTGAATATACTTTATTGTTAATGACATAAAACTTTTTCTCATGTGTATTTGTATAATTTTTTTTGGGATACACTATGTATTAAATTTCACGACATTGACAACATTATCTGAATACACTTTATTGTTAACGACTCAATCTATTATATAGTGTGCCCAAACAGTTTTATGCCCATGAGAAAAAGTTTTGTTTTTTAAAAATAACACTTATTCTTGATAAGAAGTTCTGCATCACTTCCAAAAAAAAACCTAGATTTTCCTTTGGACTTTGGAGCTATCTGAAATCTTTAGTCTACGAAAAGCCTATTCGTAATCAGGAAGATCCCTTCGCAAGAATAATGACTAGATTTACACATTTAGAAGCTATTCCAGGAATATTCTATGCATTGAAGCAAATGATCAACATTTTGAACAATTATTGTAATTGTATTTGTCCCTCTGAAAAATTTTTCATTTAATATTAATTATTTGTCACTGAAATAAACAAAACTGACCAAAATAATTTTTCCTTTTTTCTACCCAAACGGCTTATTTGCGGACCTATGTTTTTAATACCAAAAAAGTTTATTTTGATGTCCCCTATCACTCGAAAATTTGTTGGTATGTTTTTAGGACACCCTGTATATCAATACATCTTGCCGTGATATCCGATTTAAAAATATCCCAGTATATATGAGTTTTTACTTTTTCTTCAAGAAAATTTGATCACTATCGCGATATTATGGATAATTTATCATTCTTGTATATTTTTTATTTAATAGAAATGGTATTTATATCGAGGTTTTTGCTACATCGCTCTGTATACCTAATAAATAATATTTCATAACGGCATTTCAGTCTCTTTCCAAACAACAACAAAATATTTTCTAGAAACTTCCAATATCACGTAAATATGGACCGGTTAAGACAAAATTATTTTTAGACAGACTCTGAAAATAGCTTTCTGATTACTAAGTGAAACCAGCTGCATAACATTAGCTCTACCAATATTTTCTTTGGCAACAGGTACACCTACTTGTTTTTAAACATTTTTACATTTAATATAAAAAACTTAATCAAATTTTTTAATAATATTTTGGATACGCATGTTTTTCTTTAAAATTTTATTTACTTTTCTTATTTATTTTTTTTAATATTTCTTTAATTAGTATTAGTACCTATAATTTTTTTTAGGAATTTTATTATTATTGTTACCTTTCATAAAATTTATGTAGCGCCCATGAAAAGACAGATTAACCATGTGGCAAAAGGTACCTTCTTGAAGAATTCGATAAAAATTGAATACGTTGTTTTATGGAACTTTACAAAAATGTACTTTTTATCACATCACATGATACTATTCCTATTCATGGGCGCTACATAAATTTTATGAAAGGTAACAATAACAATTAAATTAATAAAAAATTTGATATTGATTCTAAACGAAATATTATTATAAAAAAAAAATATAGGAAAAAAGAAATCAAAATAATGACTATTTCACTCACCTTAAAATTTTCACAAAATCTGACCAGTCACAAATCAAAGAGAGCTTGTATTATCGCGAAAACACCAGCTATCTTTCAATTCTGATTGGTCTATCAGCTTGATGTCAAAGTTTGACAGTTTGAGAAATAGTACATTACATTACGACGGTGGAAAGTGACATTTTTCACACGAATGGGAAATATTGTCGCACGAGGCACAAGCCGAGTGCGACTATCACACGAGTGTAGAAAATCACTTTTCACACAAGTGATGTACAATATTTTTCCTACGACCACAAAAGAATTTCATCAAAAAATGTAAAACCAGGTTATTTTTATAATAATTAAAATGTATTTAACAAAATAATCAACAATAATCGTATTTATATAATTTTCATATTTTCTAAACAAAAAAAAACAGAAAAACAAAAAAAAAAAAAAAAAATTGTGCCCCCGCAAGGATTTAAACGCGGTCGCTCGCCAGGTCTCAAATGGCAAAGTTGATACTATACCAAATGAGCTAATAGGCCTTGCGTCAATTGAATGATCTAATCGGTTATGTGTTTAACCAGAATAAAAAGCAAACATTACTTAGTTATTTTAAAATTATTTTAATAATTATTATTAAAGATAAATATCTAGGATCTAATTTACAACAATTTAACAACCATATCGATTTTAGTATTAATATGGACATTACATAGATCAAAATAGAAATGATGCGTTTGACATTTTGTGACAGCTGCTGCGGAAAGTAGCATATTCGTACACAAGTGGAAAGTAAATTCTTATTCATACGCGTGTGATATAGGGCACTTTCCATAGGACTATATAGTGTGATATGTCACTTTCCTAAGTGGTCGTAGGAAAAAATAATTATAGCTGCCACGAAGTATAGATATAAAACGGGTTATGATGGACAAATAATGTTATTTTTAACAGACACGTTATTTGTGAACAGGTTGTTATTTCTGTGTGTTTATAAAATAACAGACCTGTTAAAAATAACATAGGTCGTCAATCATAACCCCCAAAGAGTCCGAACGGCGCGCCCTACTGGCAAAAAGTCTGTCCACCAAATTGTTTATTATTAAGTATTACATATCTTCCTCTCATTTTGCTGAATTTAAATTTTTTGATCTACCACTTTGTTCGTGAAATAGTCTAATAAAATACCATTCGTGATGTGGTATTACTACTGAAAATCAAACACCGCATAATAAAAAAATTTAATAAACTGTTAGGTACAATACCAAATGTTTTAAGACTTTATAATTATTCAAAAACAATTAAAAACAAAACTATTTGAAGATGTCCATGGTACCTCTTTTATTCCGTGATTGGTGGGACGAAGAAGACCTGCTACGTCCCTCCAGACTTTTGGACCAACATTTTGGCGTGGGTCTGAAAAGGGACGACCTCCTCAATTCGCTTAGCTCCATCCCAAGAAGATCAAGGTTGAACAATTACATCAGACCGTGGTCTACCATGGGGACTGATATTCAGAGACAGGATTCTGGGTCAACTATTACTCAAGATAAGGAGAAGTTTCAGGTAATTGGTCTCTTTTTTTTATTGGAACTCAGGGATAAAAATTGAGAATAATAGGATTTTAAGATATTATTTTTATTTTTTCCTACAAATACTGGGGTTTTAGTGTCAAAAACAAAATATATACCAATATTTTTTTTCGTATTTTTTATAATATAGGGTGACACTTCTAAAAATACACATGAAAACAGTGACAATGATGTCTTAGGACGTGAAATTTCATATGGCTCATCCGTTACCCCAGTTAGGACTTATCTTGAAACACTAGAACCCCAGGTCAGTGGTTGTTTGGAATTTTTGTATATACCTAATTAAAATATTTGATCCACAGGGGTCAACTCTACCCACAGGTTAGGTTGCAGAATTTACTTATTTTTACCACGGTTTCCGAGTGTTTTTATCTTTTTAGGTTGATTTTCCTGTATGTCTTCCAGATTTTCATCTACTAAAGTTATCCAAAATGAATCCAATAATGATCATTTTCCACATTCACTTTATATTTGACAAATTGCTGTTGTGACTCCTTAGTTTGTGTAGGCTAGAACAAAATAATTATAGTCCATGCAAAAGAACTAGAGAGTCATTACCTTGTACACAGAATATATGGGCAATCTCCCGTATTCAGATAGAATACATAAAAATAACATAATATAATTTGTTTTTCCTACGAACCCCCTTTTCAGAGATATGGTCCCATAATGGACACCCCTGACATTTTTTTTACCATTATTATTAAAATGCCTAGTTTTCGTTTAAAATGGTTTTTTGCCTAGGTTGTCACTGATAAAAAATCTTTTTTCTACACCCGTATTATAATAATGCACTTATATGCCCATAATCCGTTTCATAATGATACCCATTATGATACAGATTTTTCATTACGATACAGATTTTTAATCAATAGAAACCTACTATTTTTCAATCAAGCATGCTGTTTGACGTTTGTCCTAGGTTTCTATGTAATTGTTTTAGTTGTCAAAACGTATTAAATTTTCGTAGATAGCTAAACTTCGATAATTATAATATTAAAATGTCTCATATCAGCGATATAGAAGACTCTTCCACACATATCGGAGAAAGCAGAAAATACAGTACAAAATATTTTGCAGCAAAAATCTAGGGAAATACCAATACCCGAAGTAATACCATTAATTACAATTTTGTAGAATTTTTTATAGAAATACGAGTAATTACTGTTATTGTGTTCAATACCAATATAAATATAATATTTATAGGTCTTGATTATTTATCGGGTGTAGAAAAAATAGCGTATGCAACTCTCATGTAATGGTTATTAAAACACTCGCATAGACCATACGAAACTCGCCTTTGGCTCGTTTCGTATCCCGGTTAATGCTCGTGTATTAATAACCGTCATTACATGATCGTTGCATAATATACTATTTTGTTGCTGATTTTTTGACATTAAATAAGAATAATGTATGACAGTGTGCTAGTGTCAGTTGACAATAGTCTTTTTTCTTCGTTATCTTATTATTTAATAAAGTAGTAATGGAATTTACGTTAAATGAATATGCTAACATGCATTTAATGTATACGCTTGCATCTTGTAATGTCTTAGAGGCCAGAAGAACTATTTCCAAATCGAAGAATTCCTGATAGGAAAACCTTTGAAAGAGTGGATCGTCGTTTGAGAGAGACAGGTAAAAACATATGGCGTTTTATTTGTGGCTTGGGCTTACCGAATAATAGAGATTTAATGTAAAGTACCAGAAACAATTTTAGGAAAGTTTAGCAAAGCCAGTCACAATTTTGGAATTCAAATGGATCGCGGTGATGGTGCCGTAGAAGATGATCCTTCTACAAGTGTCCGAAAATTGGCTGCCTAGTTTAACTGTCCAAAATGGACGCTCTCTAGAATCCTTAGAGCATAAATTGTTTCCATTTAACCTTTAAAAAGTCCATGCGCATCTTGCCGAATACTTTCCGTGAAGGAACGAATATTCTGAATTTTAGATCGGCTCAGAAACGATTCAAATTTTTCCGAAAAAGGGGGACATAAAAAAAAATTATAGAAACTCATGTTATTTTTATGTGTTCTATCTATATCCTGGAGATTGCCCACATATAACTTTTTTAAATTATTTGTTTATCTGAGACAATTTCTGTTCTAATTATTCTTCGTTCTTGACGATGGGCGGTCATATTTAGCATGAATCATCTTTGATGAGGTACGTGAACCTTATTATTTAATTCCAGGTAATCCTAGATGTCCAACAATTCGCCCCGAATGAAATAACTGTAAAAGTCAACGGCAACAGCGTCGTAGTTGAAGGCAAACACGAAGAAAAACAAGACGAACACGGTTTCATCAGCAGACACTTCGTCAGAAGATATGTTTTGCCGCATACGCACGATCTGAACGCCGTCGTCTCTTCCTTGTCATCAGATGGCGTATTGACAGTCAGCGCACCCAAAAAATCAGAAACACCTGTAGGAGGGGATAGAGTGGTGCCCATCACTCAAACCGGCCCTGCAAAAAGCACCGTTACGCCTGTCGTTGAGTCGCCTCAACCTCAAACGTCCACTTGAGGTGCGATGCTGTTTTTTTAAGTGTAAAATATTTGAGAATTGTTTTCTCAGTGTTTATATATATATAAAAAAAATAACCAGTTTATTTATAATCTTTAAGACTGGCTTTAAAATTATTGGTAAACTGTGCAATGTTTTTGTAATATTAATGAGAAAAACAAGTAAGATTTTTTTATGAAGTGAATTTTTTTTAAGCCTCTGCGTTGTTTGTAAAATTGTTTCGGAATAATAAAGGCAGTTCTTTTTACAATTTAATCTTTTTCTTATCCACAATAACACATTACATAACTAATGTTGGAAATACATCCAACATATATCACTGATTCCTCAGGCCACCCCTGCACCGGAAAAATACGATTTACATTTTAAAGACGGTTGCGTTTTAAGACAATTTTTCGCCGCTGGAAGCGTTTACGTATAAAAAGTCGAAAATTATGTATACAGTGTGGAACAGCTAAATGGAATAAATTCGGTAATAAATAAATGGGGGCGTGTTCGAGAAAACGCTCAGACACGTCGATTGGAATTTTTAGTTGAGCATTTTTTTTAACGAAAACTTTTTATACAGGTTGTGTCATATAACACTGACCAATACCAACTTTCTTATTTTAAATGCAACATTTTCAATTTTTGGATTTTTCAGGAAATTCTAGGCATATTTTATGTACTATATCCTATACCTAACTGTTTCGGAAATGTTAAATGTTTTACGATTTATTGCAAAAATTAAGGTGATTACAGCACCCCTTATAATTTTCGAACAAGCATATCTCAAAAAGTAATTTTTTTAAAAAATTAAAATTTTGGAAAAATCAATGAGGCAATAATATCTAAAATATGCATATATTTTAAAGTTTTAGTTACTTCCAGTTTCCAAGAAAAAAATCAAGGGGCTTTAAATTTTGAAATATCATAATGAAAATAAATGCATTTCTTAACAGCACTATTCTTAATATAATCTCCAAATTAAAGCTCTTAATCTCTTGTTAATAATTTTTTAAAATTCGCCGAAATTAGTGGCTAAAACTCATCGTTAAGGGCTATTTTCTGGTTTAAACTGGTGTAAACTGGTGTAAATCATTGTAAGAAACGAATTATGACTCAGAGTGTACGATACGATAGTTACAGTCACGTTACACCAGAAAGTAGCACTTAACGAGGCGTTTTAGCCACTAATTTCGGCGAATTTTAAAAAATCTTTACCAAGAGATTAAGAGCTTAAATTTGGGGATTATATTAAGAATACTGCTGTTGAGAAATGCATTTATTTTCATTATGATATTTTAAAATGTAAAGCCCTTTGATTATTTTTCTTGGAAACTGAAAATAATTAAAACTTTAAAATATAAGCATATTCTAGATATTATTGCCTAATTTATTTTTCCAAAATTTTAACTTTTAAAAACAATTACTTTTTGAGATATGCTTGTCCGAAAATTATAAGGGGGTGCTGTACTCACCTTAACATTAACAAAATAAAATTGTTTGATTACAAAAATTCACTACAACACACTCAATACTTATTTCCCATATAGGTCTTGATAATGAGAAAGTAAGCAAAAACCATTTCACCATTTAGTTTATTGTTAATTTTTACAATAAATCGGAAAACATTTAATATTTCTGAAACAGTTAGGTATAGGACATAATACATAAAGTATGTCTAGAATTTTCTGAAGAATCGAAAAATTGAAAAATATACTGGGTGTTCACAAAATTATTTCGAATACACCTACACACGCTGTGAAACAGAAAGATGGGGTTTCTGTTATTTTAAAAATTTTAATCTGTAATCTTCCCCATGTTTTATAAAATTTTGACTGCACCAGAAGATGGAAAAATGTTCCGAAACATATGTATTGCTTGAGCTTAAATTATAGAAAATAAAAACAATATGACCGAATTAACTAAAGAAATTTGTATTTCATTAATAATTATAGGTACTGATTAGTTTTATTTAAAAAAATAACATAGTAGCACGGCAAACATTTGAACTTTATTTTTGAATAATTTGCACACTTTTTCTCACGGACAAACGGTACAATTGGGTACAGTCGACTTATTTTGACCTCTACACTCTACAATGCATGGTAGCTCTAGGTCCCAGCAATTTTGGGACACCATGTATAATCCAATGCCTGCTGTTATTAGCTAAATGAGTAGTTGTTTTTCAGTGGAAAACAGTCTCTCACATTGTTTTGTCATATAGTTTTGAGATATAGGGTAATGCTTAACTTAAATGAATGGATAATTATATAAAAAATTTTGTCCCGTTTATTTGCACTAGTCAGTATAACTCAACAACACACAAATTTGGGGTGAATAAATAGGTAAGTCAGATTTTTTCTTTTTGATAGGTCATAATTATTTACATTGTTGGTTGCATAATTAACAACCTATTTCTAAAAAACGAAACAACTTAAAATTTGTATCTTTCGAAAACATCGAAATGTTTAAAATGTCCACACAGAAATACTTCAATTTTTGACTTATCGACTTATTTACAGATGGTACAGAAATTTTGGTATATAAAAAATTCCGACTCTTTGGAAAATGAATTACAAAGGTAGGTAATGTTGGTTAGGCAACTATCAATGCATTATAGTATATGTCGGGTTGCAAACATATTTAAGTTTGAAATTTTGCATCGCTGCAGAATATCAAAGTGATAAAAAATCGGAATTACTAAGAAAATTCAAGATTATTCGGTGTTTTCTTTATTATTAACTTATAGACCCAATTCTATTTTTAAATTGACCTTTGTACGATGTTCGCGGAAGATCCTTTTACCATTTTAATATTCGATCATATTTTGCTATCCTATAGTATGAAGTATGCAACCAGTATCATATCGCACCTCCGTTTTTTGGTATTATCATTTTTGAAAGGAAAAAGTTAATCCCCACTGGAGAAACAACACATCTAAACTTCCAAGACTTTCCGCTAGACTGCGGAAGTGTCACTTTTTAAATTTCAAAATTCGCACCAGTATGAATCTTTCGAAATTTCGGAGCGACACATCTAATATTTAGTCAGTCGCCGCTTAAATTCTGTCAATGGTTTACGCGTGGAATTTTGAGTTGTGCCCTCTTCATATCTATGGTTGTGTCATTTCTAAAAGCTTTAAACGAACAATTACAAATTAAATTATGATTACTTAAAATAACAGAACTCAAAATTTTGAGGACCGAGAAATAAATATAATTATATTTAAAAGGAACCTTAAAACAAACATTCCCACAAAGTCAGTTTACAAAAGAAAGCTAAATCTTAAAGACAACAAAAAAGAAGATCTCTTATCACTACATGCTAATCACATTAAAAGATTTTATGCTGATTTTGATGAAAATCTGTAATATTTAAAACTAGTCAAGTTTTTAGTTTTTGTTTGTTTTTTGTTTAATGTTCATTTAAATTTAGTGAATTGAATATAGTAAATAATGTATACCAACATACACTATAGTTTGTGTATGTGTATGTATAGGCTAAAAATCATTTCAAAAATATATATTTTTGTTTAAATCTGATAGGTACGGTACTTTTTTATTATCTTATTGCCTTACAAAAAATATATTTTGGAATCCCTTATGAATATAGAAAATAATCAGTCAAAGTGACATAACCAACATTATCATATAAATCTAATTGTTTCTATTTTTTAAAACGCCTTATTGACTAGCTGCCGGTGTTTCAGTTGGTTTAGGTGGATTGGGGTTTGGTTCACTAGCGGTATTATTTAACGGCGAGGCGTAGCCGAGCGCCTTGAGGCCGAATAATGGCAAACGAGCTTCGGAATACAATTCATGATGGGTCATCATGGCGTCTTGCAAACAAAAAATAGATGCATTAATTGAAGTTTGCAATGCCGTGGGGCGCTGTTCAGTACACCTGTAGAACAAACATATCGCACACCCGCTTCAGAAGTGACATAAGTAAAAAAAAAACATAATATAGATTTAGAGATGTTTTTAATTATCGGCCTCAAAATCACCGACACTTTTGAATTTAAGATTTAACCTTTTATTGGTACGTTAAGGAGAGACTACATAACATAATTATAGGAAGAATTTGTTATTACTATGTATTAAATGTCTTTGATGTGTCATTTCTGATTTGCTCATGTAAATAATACATGAGGCTAATGGCCGTAGTAGTCGACGCCGATGACACCAAATTATAAAAAAAATAATACATATTTTTTTTAGTTATGTCACTTTGACTGATTATTTTCTATATTCATAAGGGATTCCAAAATATATATTTTGTAAGGCAATAAGATAATAAAAAAGTACCGTACCTATCAGATTTAAACAAAAATATATATTTTTGAAATGATTTTTAGCCTATACATACACATACACAAACTATAGTGTATGTTGGTATACATTATTTACTATATTCAATTCACTAAATTTAAATGAACATTAAACAAAAAACAAACAAAAACTAAAAACTTGACTAGTTTTAAATATTACAGATTTTCATCAAAATCAGCATAAAATCTTTTAATGTGATTAGCATGTAGTGATAAGAGATCTTCTTTTTTGTTGTCTTTAAGATTTAGCTTTCTTTTGTAAACTGACTTTGTGGGAATGTTTGTTTTAAGGTTAAACATAAAGGAATTGTTACAGAATAGACCCCTATGTCGGAATAATCCATTTTTCCATATTCCTAAACGGAATAATCTATTTTTTCGAGTTCTAAGCTGGACAAATCGATGTTTCCAAGTTCTAAGTCAGAAATATCGATTTTTCCGTTTTCTAAATAAAAATTGTGGCCCTTCTAGGATTCCGTAGATATGAGCTAACAATATATTGAACATTATCGTGTGGTTTAAAAGGTATTATCTTAGGCAATTAAAATCACATGTTTATTATTAAATTACAACAATATTTACACCTGGAATAGTATCATTTCATGATGTAGATCAGTTCAACACTCTCATCAATTTTTCTAACCCAATACTTTAAAATGTGCACCTCATATCTTGTATTTTTTTTATTTAAATTTGGTCATCACTAATTCCCTCTTTAAATTCTAAATTTAATATTTGTACAGTGTTTTTAAAAGATTTTTTTTGTGTATCTATTAGAGTATCGATGTCTTCCTTATTTGGTATAGATTCACTATTTTTACATATATCACAGGATCCACGACTGGCATGTTCTAAAAGAGGGTGTAATTTTTCTTCTGTAGAGGTTTGCTTTGATTTGGCACTAAAAAATTTAAAATTTTATAACATTCGTTAATGTTATTTTAGGGAATACCAGTCAACAAATTAATTAACTCATTACCTTAAAGTTCCTTTATATTTTCCTAATAGAAACCCATTTTTAAAACCTTCTTCAAAGCCTCTGTCAAAACTTTTTTGGAAATTACTATCTCGTCCAGCAGTAATACCTTCACGTAGACCTGTCTTTCTAGAAATATTTTGTATCTTGTTAGATGTTTGTGTTATATCATTCATTTCTTCTAAATCCATTTTGAAAATATCACTAATTTCAAAATGTTATGAAAAAAATATATAAATTTGAAAACTTAACCTAATAATGACATGACAATATTGACAATGACAGCAGATATTCTTTTTACTTTCTTACTAAAATTGAAATCGAAAACCAAAAAGTAAAGAAGGAAATTTAATGGCAAGAGTTATTTTTATTACTGTTTATTCTTGAATATTGTATTATTATAAAGGATTAATTAATTGACGTAAAAAGGCATTCCAACGACCTATCAAAATTTGTCCGTGGTTACAGGTTATGATATGGCAACCCTGTAGACATGTTGTCTGCGACAGGGTCAATGCTACATAAGTTATATAGATAGCTCAAAGTGAGTCGTTTTCCGAGCATGGAGGTATAATACTAAACATAGAGTTAGTTCTACCTATGAAGACTGTTCTACCTCCATGATACTAAACCTCATGTTTTCGAGTGGCTATATTGTCTCGCAAGACGTGTGTCTGTATATCCAACTGTTGCAGCGACTTTGGCATCATGCGGTATGTATTAAACGAAGTTTAAAATGACATTTTTACATTAACAATGTCATTTTAATATCCGTTTAACACAACTGTGGAATCGTCCCTTACTCTTTTTTTTATCAATATATCAATGATGTACTAAGGACCGATTTCGCCGTTGTGTTAAACGAAGTTTAAAATAACATTTTTACATTAAGGGCCGATTCCACCGTTGTGTTAAACGGAGATTAAAATGACATTGTTAGGACCGATAATGTAAAAATGTCATTTTAAACTTCGTTTAACACAACGGTGGAATCGGTCCTTAATGTAAAAATGTCATACGGTGGTATCGGTCCTAACCACGTCCTAACAGTGTCATTTTAATCTCCGTTTAACACAACGGTGGAATCGGCCCTAACAGCGCTGTCTTTTTATCCAACGTTAATGCAATCTATGCAACACCAATCCATCAATTTCATGGATGGTTTTTCCGATTAGATGTGACAACTGGATTGCGGGAATTAAGCAGAATTAAGGAGTTAATTAATTATTTAATAATTGTTCTACTGTGGGAAAACCAAAAAATGGGCTTTTAAAAATACACACTTTCAAATTAAGGTATAGATAATCCAAAATGTCAACTGTTATTTGAAGGGGCAAGGACCGATTCCACCGTTGTGTTAAACGAAGTTTAAAATGACATTTTTACATTAACAACGTCATTTTAATCTCCGTTTAACACAACGGCGGAATCAATCCTAAGTGGATAAAGGAGTTATGTTAAAACAACTAGTTTTTGAGCAACTAACTATTTAAGAGCCAATTCCACCGTTGTGTTAAACGGAGATTAAAATGACATTGTTAATGTAAAAATGTCATTTTAAACTTCGTTATTTAACACAACGGTGGAATCGGTCCTTAGGGCAGATTCCACCGTTGTGTTAAACGGAGATTAAAATGACATTGTTAATGTAAAAATGTCATTTTAAACTTCGTTTAATACAACGGTGGAATCGGTCCTTACCACTTCATTTATTGCAACGTTCAACCATAAATAAACCGAATCCAACAGAAGGTTCAAATTCGTATCGGTGAAACAGCGATTCCAACAAACCGATGGAAAAAAGACACACGTAAGTGCTCATTAATCTAAGTCGGTTTAGGAAAATATGTGTTAAAACCAATTTTCAGCCTTTTAATATAGTAAAAAAAAAATTCTGACAGTTTTACTTCAAAGCATTATTAAGTTTAATTTTGAAAAACATGAATGATCAATCTATATAACTATCTATAACACTGACTCTGTCAAATTAATGGGCCCACAGGGTTGCCATATCGTAAGTAATTATCACAAATGTCAACAAAATTGAAATTGCCAATCTTGTCTCTTGTCTTGAATCTTGAACTTGAAGTGATCTTATCTATTAAGGTGATTATACACATTTTTATTTTAGTTCAACTTAATAATTTGTTATAATAGTTTTACAGAATCATGGAAAAGACCGGTTTAAGTCCAATAGATCCCAGTTCATTTTCTAGACCAGGTATTTTTTTACAAATTTTTAGTAAATATAACCATTAATATTAATTATTTTAAGATCTCGCTGTTGTTACTGATATATTTTTGAATTTGGTCGTTAATTTTGAGAAGAAAATATTGAGCGGACATGTGATTTTGTCTGCTAGTAAAGTTGAACCAACTGTTAATGAATTGGTAAGTAATAAAATACATGATTTTTGTAAAAAGTAATGCATGAAATTAATCATTTTAAAACACGCCATGTGCATTAATTTGTATTATTATCGATGGAACCGATATTATCACTGATATTCAATAGATAATATCAGGAATTAATAAAATATGAAAAATATAATAGCACAATAATTTATGATTACAGTAAGTACATATAGTAATGACAAAATACCAGCTTGTCTACTAGATTTTTATAATGTACTAATCATGATTATCAGTTATTTGTTAAGTATGGTGTATGATTATCGATTATTAATTGACTAAAAGTATAAGAAATTGTTATATGTGATATCAAATAAAGTACATGCATTTTTTTATATTTATGCACATGATTATCAAATCAGTTAATTAATCTCCTTGTAGGTTCTCGATGCTTTTAAACTAAACATATCTGGAGTGACTGATAGCGAAACAAAGGAAAAACTAAATTTCAAGTTATCTGATCATTTGCATGAGTTCGGTTCCAAATTGACTATTCAGTTACCGAAATCTGAAGTGAGCAAGTAAGTTGAGATAATAAATTGTTTATATATATATGTATCTCGTTTATTTAGCAAAGCTAATAGTACATTACAAATAAATAAAATTACAAAAAATATTTATCTATATCTAAAATATAAAATATAACACTAAAATATCACAGATGCTGGCTCGTTAACATATAATCTCTTAGTTTATATTTAAAGGTATTAAATGAGGCGACATTTCGGAGTTCTAAGGGTATCTCATTAAAAGCTTGAAGTCCCTTAAAAAATATTGAATTTTGGGACTGTTTACGTGCAACTTGTGGAATATGAAAATTAGATCTATTTCTTGTGTTATAGTTATGATAGTCAAAGTTGTAATTGATTTTATCAAGTAAATAAGAGGGGACCAGTCCATGTTTAATTTTATAAATGAATATTAAAGTTAAGTACAGAAAATAGTTTTTAACAGAAAGCCATTTCAAATTTTGTAACATACCTAATATATTGGTCCTTCTATCACATGACAATAATATCCTCATTGCTTTATTTTGTAATTTCTGAAGTCTGTTGGTTTCATTCTGATTAAGTAAATACATAATGGTGGCACAATAAGTGAAATGAGGCAAAACTATACTGTTATATAAAAGAATCAATGACCATTTATTAATATATTTTGAGCACCGGTATAAGTAGTTGACTTTAAACGCTACTGTTTTAATGATATAGTTTGCATGATCTTTAAAAAACAACATATGGTCTACTATTACTCCCAGATATTTAATTTTTTTTACGACTTCAATGACATCATTTTCAATACTAATTTTCATATTATTTTCAGTAAATTCATTGTAATACCTAACATTCCCGATAATCGTAAATTTAGTTTTGTTAATATTTACTTTTAACGAATTAAAACAACACCAATAATATATTTGCTTTAATGTGGTATTTATAGTAGCGGTTACTTTCTGCAAATTATTAGCAGAATAATACAGCAGAGTATCATCTGCAAACATATGTATGGAGCAACCACCTGCAACTTGAGAAATATCATCAATATATAGAAGGAACAATAGTGGGCCCAATACACTCCCCTGTGGTACGCCTAATTCATTTTTTTGTTCTTTTGATAAAATGTTTTTAAACCTTAATTTTTGTTTTCTATTGTCCAGGTAATTTATAAGCCATTCTAGTGAATTTTCAATAATACCAAAACTTTTTAACTTTTTAATCAGTAGAGATCGATTTACCGTTTCAAATGCTCTTTGTAGGTCTAAAAAAAGAGCACCTGTAATTAACTTGTTGTCATGATTCTGTTTCCAGTCATTTAATACATACTGTAGTGCAGTCTCGCAGCTGTGTTTACCCTGTAATCCTGATTGATTACTATTAAACATATTATTTTCTTCCAAATATTCAATAAGTTGATTATATACTACTTTCTCTAAAATTTTTTCTACTGTACATAACATATTAATAGGACGTAAGTCCACTGCCCTATTTGAATTCTCAACCTTAGCTATTGGTGTTATTATTGAAATTTTTAGATCGTCTGGAACAGTATTAGTCTCTAACGAGGAATTTATTATATTTATCAATGGCTTAGCAATATTTTCGAAACAGTATTTTAAAAACAGTACATTAATTTCATCAGGACTTCCTTTATTCGACATATCAAAAACAATTTCTTTTAAAGTATCAAAACTAACAAGATTAAACTTTTTAAGACTTACATTATCATTTTTAACAATAATGGGAAAATCATTAACGTTCTGATTTATATTAGATACTAAGTCAATTATACTATCAATGTAATATGTGTTAAGTGCATCTGGCATTTCAATTATGTCTTTTATAATTAAATTTTCATTTATTTCAATTTCTACAAGATCATTTTGTTTATAGTTTTTGGGTAACAGTTCCTTCATTACATTCCATAATTTAACAGAATTATTTTTATTTTCCATAATTTGAGAGTCATAATATTTTCTCTTTTCATTTCTAATAGTTTTAACAGCCATATTACGTTTCTGTTTATATAATTCTTTATTTTGTTCTGTTTTGTTTAATACATAATTTTTGTAAGCCTTATCCCTATCTATAGTTGCTGTGTGCACTGTGTCATTCCACCGAACTCTAAATTTTGGAAAAATCTTAATAGTTCTCTTTGGTGCCACCTCATTTAAAACCCTCATTACTTTTTCATAAAAATCCTTATATTTGGCATTAATCCGTAATCTATAATTCCATTCAACTTTAGATAATTTTTCATTAATAGTATCATAATCGATAATTCTACCTCTACTTTCAATTAATTGTGGTTCCTTGGTTAGTGCCAAACAGTCTAGATATATTAAAATGTGTACTTATTCTAGGCGATGTAACAATTTCTACCCTAATATTTTCAGAATTAGTTATTACAAGATCTATAAGTGAGCCACCATTATTACTATTGGAGGGATGGGTAACTTGTGAAACAATATTTTTCAAACCAATGTCAGAAATACAATTTTTTAATCTGCTACTGTAAGTATTGTCATGCATCAAGTCTATGTTAAAATCACCTGTTACAATTATATTAAAATCACAATCACATAAAAAGTCATCTGCAAAATGTTCAAAAAAGTCTAAAAAATCCTTACAAGAACTACTAGGAGATCTGTATAAACTAACAACTAAGTAATTACTTTTTTCAAATAAAAATTTCAATAGTATTATCCAATATTTTTTTTGTGTACAAAATTTTTTAAAACTCAAAACCTTTAATTGATTGTTTATGTAGATTAAAGCCCCACCAGTGTGCCGACTATCACTATTAACCCTATAACTATTATAACCATTTATAGTAATTTCAGAATCGAATATTTCATCAGTAAGATGTGTTTCAGAAAGGCACAATAATAATGGTTTTTTTGACGTAACTATAGCTGAAATTTCATCAAAATGACATAGTAAACTTTGAGCATTAAGTGATAAAATGAAACATGCAAAGTTTTTATTTATTGTTTTTTTAGATAATAGTTTAGTTTTACTGTTCCCTCTGTTTAAGTAATGTGAATAATTTTTTTGTTGGATGGAAAATCCATATTTTCTGTACTAGTAGGGACTGTTATATCACTTAAAATTATAATCTTTTCATTGTTATTTGATTTAGGAGTATTTCCATCTATGCAAGCAGTTTGATTATCAGTTTCAATAAATACTAAATTATTTCTGTACTTTACTGAACATATTTTATTTTTAATCAAAAATGCTAATTTCTTATTATTCAATCTATAACCATTCTTATCATTAACATATAAAAAAGAGAAGGAGTTTTTTTGATACCAGTCTATATAACTTATAAAACCTGATAATTTAGAATTGAAATTAATTATTTGTTTAATATTAGTTTTAAATTTAGGTATTGATAGAAAAATTAAATTTGTGTGCAAGAACTGTTTTAATTTATAACTAATATTCTTAATGCTAGGATACCTGTTTTTTAATATGTCGTTTTTTCCTGCCATAATAACTACATAATCATTTGAGTTAAAGTTTTTAGTAAGATTTTTAATATCTTCTAGTATTCTATTAAATTCTGCTCCTGGTTTTAAAATTATTTCAATTGACGCACTTTCTCGATAAAAACACTTTCTTAATTCCCTGTCCAAACCTCTTCCATTTTCATCTGATAATATCAAAATCCTTTTCTGTTTCTTGGCATTCTGTGGTTCAATGTTGTCACTTTTAAAACTCGTATTCTTGATGTCAATGTGTAAGCTTTTTAATTGGTTTAGGTACATTATATTGTCTTTTGCTAAGTTTTCAATATCTTTCATCAGCTTAACGTTCTTATTTTTTAATTGATTAAGTTGATCAGTCATATTTCTTTGGTTGTCTTCCAATGCAAAATTTAAAACTCTACATTCATTTATATTTTTACTTACATCCATAAAATTTTCGTTTTCAATTTTAAGTATCCCAATGGTTTTCTCATAATCAATATTTTCAGTTTCCAACATCCTTATTGTTGTTACCATGGTCCTGTTTATAGAATTTAACTCCTTGACATCCAGTTGCAGTTTTAATATCATCTCATCTTTTTTCATTATGGTTTTATCATATTCATTTATTGCACACTGTGCACTTTGAAGTTTCGAGTTGAGAGACTCAATTTCCCTATACTGCTTTGTAATTTTCGCTTCAAATGTTGACTCTGCATCTATTACTAAGTTTTCGAAACTTTGACTGCTTCTTTTTAGTATTTTAATATGGTCTTCTTTATCTTGCAGATTTTCCTTTAGTTTGGCAATCTCTGTTTGGAAATTTTTAATTTCAACTTCTTCATAGTTTTTTAGGTTTTCACATCTGGATGAGCAATATACCTTATGGTCCTCAATTTTAACAGCTTCGTTGAAGTCTCGATCAAGGCAACTCGGATGCAGGACGTTAAAGCAACTTATACAAACCAAGTTTTTGAATTCTTGTTTGTTATGACATTTAAAATAGGTCATTTTATTTCTAGTACGCCACTGTATTATTTTGTAAATAGTTATTTATTTATCAGCTGGCTTCTTTACTAATTGAACAGATAACAATATCCAGTTTTTGTATTTAAAGTTAAAAAAAAACAGAACACTTTTAAAAAATCCTTGTTAAATGCAATTTTCAGCTTTACTGTAATTGGCACTTTTATAAGAATTACATATTTGAATTCACTATGATTTTAGCTATAATTTGATACTTTATTTAATTTTGTATGATGGTTTTTACCACCAAATCTGAACACTTCTCGGGAGCAATGAGAAAAACGTACCCACGCTCTTATTATCGTAATGATGATGATCAAAACAGATTCCGCTAGGACTTCAGCATATCGACATTGCAACCTTTAAGGCATATTACAGTTTATCTAATTTATTTAATTATATTTTTGTTAGGTTGTAGTGTTATATTTATTTATTTTATTTTGTAGAATTAAGATTTGTATTGAATATGAAACGAGTCCAGATGCGAGTAGTTTGCAATGGATTGCCCCTGAAGCGACGGCTGGTAAAAAACATCCGTTTCTATTCAGCCAGTGTGAGGTAACAAAATACGTCTTTTCGAATTCTTTTATTTTTAATTGGGTTCAATTTTAGCCCACTCATGCTAGATCTTTTCTGCCATGCCAAGATACGCCATCTGTCAAACAAACCTACAAAGCTTCAGTAAGTCATTTCATAAATTAAATTGATATGTAGACAGATATTTTTTGATGTACTGAATGGTAACGGCTTCAAATAATATTTATAAAATGTCTGTTTGCGGTTCATGTCACTCTAGGTATCGAGTTATTTATATTTTGGTTTGTTTTGGTGTAGATTACTGCACCAAAAGAACTGACATCTCTGATGTCGGCCATACAGGAAGATACAAAAGTATTCGAAGACACCAAACAGGCGCAATTCATTCAAAAAGTTCCCGTACCTTCTTACCTTATAGCTTTGGCCGTAGGGGCGTTGGTATCTAAAAAATTAGGACCTCGTTGTCAAGTTTGGGCTGAAAATGAGATCATAGAAGAGTGCGCTTATGAGTTCGCCGACACTGAGCATCAATTGAAAACGGCTGAAGAAATTTGCGGGCCTTATGAGTGGGGAATTTACGATTTGTTGGTATTGCCTCCTAGTTTTCCTTATGGGGGAATGGAGAATCCTTGTTTGACGTTCGTTACTCCAACATTGCTGGTAAGTTTTGATAGGTGAAATAATATTTATTTTACTTTAAGACTTAAAAAATGTATGCTTTAATAATTATCAAGCACAGTATTTGAAAAATAAAGCACCAAACATCAAATTCTTAAGGAAAAATATTTAAAGCTATTATATTAATGATTTAGGTCCGTCCATCTGCACCACTAGTCATTGAGAAATAAGCCAAGCTTAAAATAACATTTCTTCATTGACAATGTCATTTTAAGCTTCACTTATTTCTTAATTACTAGCAGTGTGAATGGCCCTTAAAAAATCAAAATATATATATTTTCTTTTAAATACCCAACAATTTCAATCTTAACTTCATTATTTTTTAATTTTGTTCTAGATCAATATAGAAAGTGCTTTTAGAATTTTTAGAAACTTTAATTACTGTAAAAATAATTGATTCTCTTTAGTGCTTTATGTCTAAAGTATTGGAATACTGCTGAAGGGCTGCAAAGCATCAGGTACTTTTATATAGCACCTTAAATTCCAAATATCAAATACTTATTTTTAAAAAGTATTTGAAGCAGTGTTTTAAGCGTTGAAAGTTCTTGAAGCACTTTATTGAAACCCTTTGTAAAAGTGCTTTACGCTGGTCTAAAAAAGTCATATTTTAGCCATAAAAACCATTGAGGCGATACTTCTTTGTACAATTTTGTTTCACCTGAAAATGTCAGAATATCGTGTGGGATTGTTTTAGGCAGGCGACAGATCCTTGGCAAACGTTGTAGCTCACGAAATAGCCCACAGTTGGACTGGTAATTTAATAACAAATAAGAGTTTTGAACATTTTTGGTTGAACGAGGGATTTACCGTATTTACTGAGAGGAAAATTAAGGGTAGACTCGAATCGCCTCAGTCACAAGATTTCGATGCATATACCAGCATTAGCGAGTTAAAAGAGTGTGTAAGTTATAAATAATTGTGTATCGTATAAATCAATAATTATAACATTGATTGGCTTACCTGCAAGGAAGATCAATCTAAATTTGTCTTCACTTATCCTCGTGTAGTATTGTATTAGTCATAACTCTCAGTATTGTTAAGCAATGAAACAATTCTTCTTTCTTCATCTGTTGGTAACCAAAATAATCACTAGGGGTGCAAGCTATCTGTGGTGGGTGGTACCCAATTACACAGGAGGATGAATTTGACAAATTTTGATTTATCTTTCTTATGGGTCAATCATCTTATAAATTTACACGTTTTTTTAAATCTTTATTTTAGATTGATAGAATAGGCAATGACAGTCCTTTGACTCAATTAGTGGTTGATCTAAAAGGTGTTCATCCTGATGAAGCATTTTCGCGTGTACCATATGAAAAGGGACAAACGTTCCTCAGATATTTGGAATCCATAGTTGGTGGGCCAAGTAAGCAAACTATTTTATTTTATTCATTCCTCAATAGTATTGTTATTGCCTAGTCGATTTGACCAGTGGAAACGTTAATGGTTTTTGGATTTATATTTAAATCATTTTCAAAAGTTCGGGCCACAGTTAAAATTCAGTACAGGTAGATGGTATAATATTACATTGGTTTTTGGTAAACTCAGTTTATTTCCAAACTCAAACTTTTACAATACAACTATTACATTAACGTACGTCTATCATAAAACTGATCTATGACATCAAGATCATCGCCTTATATAGCTCTTTGGAGTGTCTCCATATATAGCTCCCTTGATTTTCTCGAAACTTCCAGATGTTTCTTGATACGAAATTACATTTTTAGACTTCTTTTACTCGTACTTTTACTTATAACACTGTAGGGTGATGGGTGACATTGCGCTTCTTCTTTTATTCATATGTTTACCTATAACAGCAGCATTAAAAAACGGACTTATTGTCACATGAGGCGCAGCAAATTGAGTACAATTATCACACGGGTGTAAAAATCACTTCTCCCAAATTAAGTACATAATTTTTTCTTTGACTACAAGACAAATTTAAATAGTGTTTATTTCGTATCTACTTCATTGTATCTCGATGACAGCAACTCAGCACGCCGTAATACCAATACTGAATTTTTAACTGTGGTCCACAGTGTAGGAGTAATTTTGTTACAATTTAAATTTCAGCCGTTTTTGAACCGTTCCTGAGATCCTACTTCCAAACTTTCAAATACAAATCCATCGATACGGACGATTTCAAAAGATTTTTCGACAATTATTTCAAAGACGTATCCGCTATAAAATCCATCGATTGGAAAACCTGGTTGTATGCTCCTGGTATGCCGCCTATCATTCCAGATTACGATATTTCTTTAGCTGTCAAATGCAATGAATTGCTGGATACATTTTACAAATGGAATGGTGAGGGTGCTATCCCAATATCAATAGATGATAAAGACAATTTGAGTACCAACCAGATTATTTACTGTTTACAGAAACTTTCCGGCTCTGAAGCTCAAAATATCGAAAAATTGAAACGGCTAAATGAACTATTCAAATTCGATGGAGTTAAAAATGCGGAAATTAAATTCAGGTGGTTGCGGATCTGCTTAAAAGCTCAATGGGAGGATAAAGTTGAAGACGCCTTAAACTGGATCAATGTTGTCGGTAGGATGAAATACGTACGGCCTCTGTATAGGGATCTATTCGAGTGGCAGGTGACCAAGAATAGAGTGGTGGACAATTTCAAGTCGAATAGAAAAAATATGATGCATGTTACAGCGTATGTTTTGGCGAAAGATTTGAAGCTTGAGGCATAGATTTGTTGGAATGTTTTTTTTTTGTAAATTTAAATATTTTCATATTTAAATAAATATTTTTATATAATTGCGTTTTTATTTGGCATATAAAGAGAAAGTAAACCATCTTTGGGTGAAAAAATAAAAAAATAGTTAATTACAATTACCGGGATCGTACAGTTTTCTACATAAATTGGCGCCCAATGAGGGGTGTAATACTTCTCTCATACAAAAACTCTTACAGGTATTGAATAAAACAAACAAAAATGTCTTTACAATTTATATTATAAATAGTGTTAACCTAATTAACAGAAATTCTAGAAACTATAAATTTAATAATAAAAAAGGGTGGAATAAAACTTAAAATCGCCCAAAAAAATTGGCCCATGATTTAACTTGCTTAGAAAGCTATAGATTTGTAAAAAATAATTTAAAATAACCAAAATACTCTCGAAGTGCCCTATACTATTCAACATTTCGTCCGTCGCTTCTTTTTCGGCGGCTTCGGATCGTCGCTGGTCATCTCTTCCGGCAATTTCAGATTCAACTCTTTCGCTCTCTTCTCGAAGAACTTTAACAACCTCACGCCACACCTAAAACGAAAATACAGACGATTTTAGAATCTGAACAACTCCAATAGCTAGAGCATTTAATTGTGACAGGAAAGACAAACGACACTTTGGACAGCGGTTAACAGCTGCGGAGTATTTATTTTTGACAGTTGCCAGAAATGACAAACGACACTTTAGACAGCTGTTATAAAATTGAACAGCTACGAAACATTTAATTTGACAGTTGGGGGAACGACAAATTACACTTGACAGATGTTATAAACTAGAAAGACTAGAGAGAAGGAGGCGAATCGGCAATGGTCAAATCTCAAATTTCCGTCCTTTTTTGAAAGTTCGCGAAATTGACTGTAGTTGGCATGTCGAATAACAGCGGTGTCAATTTTCTATGTAAGTCAATGTAAAATGAAGTGATTTTTTAAAATATTGGTGAAAAGAATCAAAATAATGTGAAAAAAGGACCTGAGTACAAGTAACATGAGTGACAAAAAAACATCAAAGCGAGATTTACATCGTTCCAGATTGTAAAACAGGATCCAAATCAAATGTAAAACTAAAAAAAAACACAAGGAGAAATCAATTCAATGTCTTTTTAAAGCTTCTTAATGTAAGTAAAATAATGTATTTATGTCTAAATATTTATTGTGAACTAGTCACAATATGTATCTTACGGAATGCAATTTATTTTATTACAAGTTTCTATAATATAAAATTTTACAGTTATAGATCCTGACTCATAAACAACTATAATTACACATTAAATTTAACTTATAGAAATGAAAATTTATTTTTTATAGTTTTAATGTTAGATAAAGAGTTGCTGCTATTTTTTATTTTTTTTTTAACCCCAATTATGTCATTGTAAATGTTTTTTATAGGATACTAAACGCTCAGAACGGTGGCAGCATATATATCGTTCCTAGTGCCGATAAAGCACTTTCTAGAGATGAAGCTGTTCTATACTTTTTAGAAGATATCAAATATGAGAGCATTTAACAAACATTTTTGAATTTGGTCATACCTACCTAATTTGTATTCTATATAGATAAAATTAAATAATTTATCAATTAAAACGTGCAAGACTTATTTAGAAATAAATACAACAGTATGTTATGTGCTTTATTTAGCTATAAACAAGTTTATTTTTATTATTTTGACAAAATTATGTATAATTCCCATAAGAAGCCATATATTTTGAACACCGTATGCAGTACGTTTTTTGGGACCGTATTTTGAGTATGACGATTCGCCTCCTTATTTCTAGTCTTCATAGTTATAACCTTAATAGCTACGGAATTTTTAATTTGATATATGACGGAATACTTACTTGTACACTTCGGCGTCCGTATCATTATAAGTGTTACAATTTTCAAATACTAATACCGCGTCTTCCATTAGTTGACTGTCTTGTCTGTATTCGCCCATGTTCAGTTTGTATTTGATTGTGCCAAAATCCATCGGTTTGGTAATTACGGTATAATAATCAGGTACCTATGAAAAAAAAAAAAAAATTGTAGTTGAACATTTGAGAAGTAAAAAAACGTACCTCAGTTTTTTGGACGGGTCTAATAAAGGCCCACGCGTCCGGATGCCTCATCACTTCGACCAATAATTCTTGTAAGGCGGCGTTGTGCAACGGAAGATCTTCTCGCATGTCTTCTCGGCGATGAGATCTTCTATTCGCTGAGCTAATTTCGTCTTCTGAACCTGATAAACAAAATTTATATCTGAGTTTAAAAAGGGGTAAATTGAGTAAGAGTTGATAAAAGGGCATTATTTTCTGGAGACAATTGAGTAAACGGGAAACAGGACAATTTTTTTATACTCCTTTGATAGAAAAAGAATGTTTCTTAAAACTTGAGGCAATTTTTGTAAAAAATAGGTAATTTAAAAGCAAATGGGGTAGGAGGTAAAAAATTAAGTAATTTTGGACCAGTAGGGGAATCTTTAATAAAATGGGGTAATTTTGGACAAACGTGTTTCTTTTTTTTTTTTGTTGAAAAAGACGTATTTTTTTTACAAAAAATAGGTATTTCAGATGAAAAGATATAAAAAATTTTAGAGAAAAGTAGCAAAATTTGGATAGAAAACGATCAAATTTGGACAATTTTAGATAAACCTGAGTTAAAGATCGTTTTACCTGATTCGCTTGGTTCTCTGCGCCTCTCCTTCTTAACGGGACCTTTACAAGCGGCGCACGTCCACGGAGCCCTAGGAGCCCTCCTCAGTGGTGGATCGCAACATTCTATATGCCAACACACCGTACATTTCTCGCACGTTATCAATTCGCCGCCGGATCCGCAATGTTTACAAAGATCAAATTTCACATCCCTTAAAAACAACAAATTTATCAATTACATACTTTTTGCAATAAGTTTTGGATAATTTTGAGTTATATCAAAAATTGTGAATTTTAAGTCGTTACTTTTGAAGCAAGGGTGCAAATATGATAAATATATATGCGCATATAAGAAATATCTACCCATCTTCTTGTTGGTCTTCCTCCGTGGAGCTTTCCTCCTCAGAATTGTCTTCCACTTCGTCCATATTGTCAGATACGGAATCATCGACGACGCTTTTGGACTCGACGACTTCTTCGTCCTCTACATCTTCGTCTCTAAATATCCGTCGTTTTTTAGTCGGTGTCGGCTCGGGACTGAGAAGCTTCGCTTCCTTCTCTTTTTCCTTCTTACACCTATCACAGAACCAGTCTCCCTTTGGTACACTCTAAAACAAACGTCACTTGATAAATATCAGCAGTCACTCATTAAACGTCAACTATCACTTGTTAAATGTCGAAAATTATTTGTAAAACATCAATGATTACCAAAGTAACTCATCAACATTTAAATAATATAATTTTCAATCGAATGTCATTAAACAATTATTGATCTGAATGGAATGTCAAGTTATTAAAAGTTTTTTGTAAAACGTCAATAATAAATAAACTCGTTAATATTTAAATAATGTGATAACTTGAAAAATCTCATCAGAAAAATTATTTGTAATTTGTACCAATATTTAAATAAAGTGATAATTGTCAATAGAATGCCAATAATTGATTTGGATGGAAGTTAAAAAAAAAAGGAAATGACTATTAATTGATTACCGTTAATTTTGGTTTGAGGCAGTACAAGTGGTGACCCAGGTTGCAGTTGTCACACAACAGCATATTCTCGGAGTCCTTTTTTCGCCGGCATATCCTACATCTGGCTAGAAGGGCGGATCTGGACCACCTGACGCACGAATCTAACGTGCCGTAATGTAGAAACACTTGACTGTAACTGGTCGACGCCAACAGCGATTGTTGCCATTTGTCTAGGAGTTGGTAGTCGTGTTTCTTATCGTTTTTACCTACGTCGCCGCTACCTAGATAGGATAATTAAACGTCGAATAAAAAACTAAATTTTTAAATTATCGATCAAACTGTATAACGTCAATATCAATTATTAAGCTTACGAAATCAACAAAAAAAATGGAGAATGCTTCGTCAGTTAACAGGGTGTTAGGAAGTCACACTTTTTATAACAATAAATAAAAATTACAAGCAAATTGAGACATAATTATTATAAACATCAATGTTATAAGAATGAATAGAACATAAACATATTCCATAATTAACCATAATTTCATATTATAATTAAAAACTTTAAAATTATAATAATAAAAATTATTTTCAATCAATTCTCTATCATGTTTAACCCCTCTAAGGACGGAATTGTTTTTTTTTGCACCTGTACCTGCCGGAATTAATTCTTTAATATTACATACAGCATACAGATTCGTGCGTTGGTCGCATATAAGCGACATGAGGCCATACAATGTGCTTGGAAATGTCGACCAAGGACGACGCTCGGCTATAAGTGCTGTCAAAATATCAAACTTTAGTAAGACTAAACAGCGTATTCTGATAATGTTTTACCTCTGTCGCTTATAAGCGAAGCTCGGCTATTTTACATGATTAGGATATGTCGCATATAAGCGACGTCCGTCCTTAGAGGGTTAATTAACTTTTAAACAATATGGTGGCTGTCTATCAGACATGCCTAAAAATTATTTTTCTAGTCCATTCAAATTGAAAAGTCTACAGCTTTTGTAGAGATCACTTTCTAACATAAACTCAAAATTTTCGATAAAAATACAAAAGTTTGTTCGATTTTGATGAAATTTGGTGAAATGCCTTAAATAAGCACTCTTTTTTTTTAATAAAAAAACAAAAAATTCGAGTAATTTTTTCAGTCCAAAAATTTGAGGTTATGTAAAAGTAACCTCTACAAAAGCTGTAGATTTTTACTTTATCTACAACTTTTGCATTATCAATTTTTGTTTTTGACATCAATTTTCGCCGGAAATCGCGATAATACCATTGTTTACCCCTTAAAACTTTACTTCAACAGGTTGTATTCTTTTTACTTCTTATTACAAGCGCCTCTAGTATTTACACTTATCAAAGTTCAGTAAACATTTTTTTTTTGTTTTTCCTCTAAATGAGTTAATTCGACTGGTCTATTCTTGCAAAGACCCATCACTTATTTTTTTTATTAAAATTTTAATATTTTAGTGTGATATTACTTACCTAAAGGTTTCTTCAAATATTTGTGATCAACCGCTTGCGCGACTTGTGCTAAGGCAATAGCCAGACCAGACACGGATTTTCTCAAATTATCAACGGGCTGCAACCTATTTTCAACCTCGCTATCCGAATCATTTTCGGTCAAAGTAGCACCCAAAAACCTTCCGGGGTCCTGATATTCCTTCAATTCCTGTTTAACGACGAGCTCGGGCGTTGGCGGCCTACTATTTCTATCTTTTTTCGATTTCGACGATTTAACTCGCTCTCGTTTTACGATCGTCTTCTCCATTTCGTCGAATTTTTTGTTCTGCAATTGCTGTCGCCATTCGTCTCGATTTTTCACGCCCAAACTTCCCAGACTGCCGGCGAAGATCTTCTCTTCCATTTCCAAAATGTTGTCTAAAAGAGCGTTTTCTAGCACCTCCTCGGGAGACATGGTCGGCGGGTAGCCCAAGTTGGAGTCCTCGTAACGGTCTTTTTGTTTTTTAATGTTCCTAAAATTATAGAAAAATAAGTTATTACTTTTTTTCTATATCGCGGGTCACTGTTAAAAATTAAGTACACATTGCTAAAATTTTTAAAATTTGATTACAATTAATTGTTAAAAAATATAAACAAACCTGTAGAAAAAAATACACTTAATTTTAAAATTCGTCATTATAAAACTACAACAGATTGTAATATGGTTTCTCAATTAATATATTTTTTATAGTATTCCTAATCCATTGTGAAAAGAACAATTGTAAAAAACAATCGATTGTAAAAAGAGTCAATTACAAAAAAATAATCAATTATGTAAAGTATCGATTTTAAAATCCATTAAAACAAATCGACTATAAAAAAAAAAGAAAATAATATGAAAAATCCATTTGAAAAATCGACTATATTAGCAGTAAAAAGAATCTGTAAATTTATTGTAATAAATAGACTGTAAAGAATTGTTTGTAAATGAATCAATTGTGTAGTGTTGATTATAAAAATACTAATCCATTGTGAAAAGAATCGAGTGCATAAATCGATTGTCAAAATCCGTTTAAAAAATCGACTATATTAACAATAGAAAAGAATCGAATGTAAAATGCAATCTATTTTGAAAAACAATCTATTGTGAAAGAAAAAATCGATTTCAAAAAGAGTAAATCCATTACGTAAAGTATCGATTGTAAAAAGCCATTATAACAAATCAACTGTAATTGGTTGTAAATGAATCAATTGTAATGTCGATTATAAAAAAAAATATATTCATTCTGAAAAGAATCAAGTGCAAAAATCGACTGAAAAAACAATTTTAAAAAATGACTGTAATAGCAATAAAAAAGAATCGATTGAAAAAACTAATTCATTGTGAAAAATATCAATTGTAAAAATTGTCAATCATTAAAAAATAATCCAGTATGAAAAATATCGATTGTAAAAGTATATTAGTATATTATAACAAATTGATTGTAAAAAACCCATATCACAAACTTGACTGTATTAACTGTACAAAAAAATCGATTGTAAAAACTAATCTATTATGAAGTTTCCATCATTAAAAGTATCAATTGTAAAAATCCATTATAACAAATCAACTGTAAATAAATCGATTGTAAATTTATTTACAATTGATTACACACTTGTAGATTGTAAAAAATATATTTTAAAAATTGACCAGATTAACAGTAAAAGATAGATTGAAAAAACCAATTCATTGTAAAAAGTATCAATAATAAAAAACGAATCGATTGTAAAAAAATTAAATTAATCCATTGTAAAAATGACTGATTGTAAAAATCCATATCAAATCAAAAATAATACATTGTGAAAACAATCAAGAACTTAAATCGATTGTATAAAACGCATTTCGAAAAAGAATCGACTGTCATAAACAAAACGTATTGATTTTTTTATATAAATTAACTTGCTTTTATCTAGAACAGAACCCGTTCCACAATCCAAATATAGAAATCAGTCACTTAAATTGTGAACAATCACAGCTAGTTTTAAATGTGTCTTATTAGTGTTAGGAAAAATAATGTACAAAACTTGTGTGAAAGTGATTTTTTGCACCAATATGATTATGCGCCTCATGTGAAGGTATATTTTTAATTTCAACTCGTGTAAAAAGTCACTTTACGCACCTGTAATGTCATAATATTATACTATTTCTAATTTAATTTAACATTCAATATCAATAAACCAACCATACACTGTCAAACTATTTGTCATCTAAAATACATTAAACTGTACTGGATTTTAACTGTACCCTGAACTAATTAATAGAAGCAGCACCGATTTATATATACAGATATCAAACAAAACCAATCTATCTACATTCATACCTCGTAAGCTTCTGATCATCGTCCACTTTAACCTCGATAGAGGGATTCAAAACGTTCGCCGGCGTTTGCGATATAACATTCTCCAAGCGCTCCCTATCGTTCTGAATAGCCTGCAACAGCTCCGCCTCACGCAAACCTCTATTATTCAACCCATTTTCCAGTTCGCCCAATTGAATTTCGTCCTGCACAAACGACCATCTCACTCTGGAGACGGTCGTCGAATGTACGCGACAAGTTTGCGGATCGGTGGTGCACATCAACAGCTCCGACGAATTGTCGACGGCGTCCGGGGGCAGTGACGAGTTTAGGGTACCGTTTACCTGAAATATTTCGTTTATTACACGCTCGATTAAGGGTATGGTCCGATATTAACCGAAATATCGGTTACTCTGTCCAAAATTAACCACTCTGCTTGACATTCCTGAAAATCCAATTACATTAGGGACGCGGTTACCCGAAAATGGTGAGTCAAACGCAATTCACTAACCAGTATATTTTTACGGTTACCATTAAGCCGAATGTCAATCTGTCACAAAAGTTACGCAATTTTCGGCCGTGGTCCAACTGTAACCAACAAATTAGTTTTTCAGGAACCGCTGTCAAAAAAATCCTGGTTAGTTAAGATTAGTAGTCGGTTAATATCGGACCATACCCTTGGTATCAGAAGTCAAATAATTGAGATACGACACTTGACGTGTCAGGAGTCAATTATTTGACACATGACACTTGACGTAAGTGTTATGTTGCGTTTGAAAAGTACCTCGTTTTGCTTTTCTCACTCGATACCATTCATTTAATAAATCCAAGCACTGTTTGCTCCATTGATATGGTTTGCTCGATGTCACCTTACAAAAAAAATATAGTCACTCTGCTTGAGGAGGTACATTTCAAACGTAACATTAATTAGTCGGCATATGGCACTTCTTGTAAGTGATGTAAGTCAAATAGTTGTCATATGACGCTTGACGTAAGTGTGAGAAGTCACTTTGTGAGATATGAAACTTGACAAGTGATATAAGTCAAATAGTTGACATGAACAATTGACGTGTCAGAAGTCAATTGGTTGACATATGAAACTTGACAAGTTATATAAGTTAAGGGTATGGTCCGATATTAACCGACTACTAACCGCAAGTAACCATGATTTTTTGACAGCGGTTTCTGAAAAACCTAATTTCTTGCTTACATTTGGACCATGGCCGAGATTTACGTTTTACTGACAGATTGACATTCGACTTAATAGTAACAGTAAAAATATAGCGGTTAGTGAATTGATTTTTGAGTCACTATTTTCAGGTAACCGCGTCCCTAATTTAACCGATTTTTCAGGAATGTCAAACAGAGCAGTTAGTTTTGGACCGAGTAACCGATATTTCGGTTAATAACGGACCATGCCCCAAATAGTTGACATATTATGACAGGAAAAAAACAGTCTATACAAGTGATAAGAGTCAATTTGTCGAATTTTACCTTTTTCGGAGATCTGGGTGACTTAGTGGGGCTTTTTAGCTTATCAGTGTCGATATAGAGCTTTCTCATGTATTTGAGTAATTGTTGTCTATTGGCTTTTACTAACTCTGGATTCTGAATACAAATAGTGTCATTACAAATGCCTGATCTGTCTTCCTCGTCGTTTATAAATATGCCGGGTATGGAATCTATCCTTAGATATTTTCGGAACGTTCTATCGCAGCTGAAATAATCCAGTTTATAATTTTGTTCAATGGGGAAATTTATTATTACAAGAAAACGTAAATATTGGGATAGAAAAAATAAAAAATTGGTTAGATGGATACCAATTGTCCTTAAATATTAAATATGACCTAACTAAAGTCTTAGGTAAGCACAAGTATGATATGAGGGGGTATTAATTTTTTTCAGTTTTCATTAATTTATTTTGTGTTAAAATTTTTGGTTATTGCTTATTTACATATTCTTTTTTTATCTTTTTCTTAGAATTGCCTAATGGGTAATGATAAGAAGGAAATATAATGCAAATATACTTACTATATAAATTATAAAAATAAATTGTTATAATAATTTTATGATTTTATTTTATAATGTCATAAGATTTTGAAAGATTGTAATAAATCGTAATTCAATTGTAATAAATCATAATAAATTGTATTAAATCGTAAAAAATTGTATTAAATTTTAATAAATTGTAATAAGTTGTAATAAACAGTAATAAATCAATAAATTAAATTGTAACAATTCGTTATAAATTGTATTAAATCATTATAAAGTATAATAAATCGTAATAAATTGCAATAAATAGTTATAAAGTGTAATAAATCGTAACAAATTGAAATAAGTCGTTATAAATTATAATAAATAAATAAATTATAATACATTAAAATAGATCGTAATAAATTATAATAAATCGAAATAACATACCCTAAAAACGGTTGCCCCTCATACATCCCCTTCATTAATTTAGCGATTTTCCTATTGTTCTCCACCTGCTTCCTTTCCGCTTCCCTTTCCAACTTTTCCAAAGCGTCCTTCAATCCCTGCTGGTCCTCTTTCATCTCTTTCTGCATTTTCAACTTCGTCGCCATATATTCCTGATCCCTTTTCTTCTCGACCAACTGCAATGCCTTCAAATCCGACCTGAACTGCTTATTCTTCTCCAATCGCTCTTCGACGATGTCTCTTACGTCCGCGTAAGTCAGCAACTGGTTCATCAAACAGGACAGTATTTGCAATTTGTTGCGGATCGATAATTCGACTACGTTATGTGTGGCTAGCGCTTTCAGAATTTGTGGTTGGTTCAAGCGCAAGTGCAGCCCCGGATCGTCCTCGCTCGTATAACCACCTCTCTGGGCGTATCTTCAAATAAGAAGAAGTTTTAGGCTTCAAAAGAAATAAAAGGAAACGAAACATAAAAAAACGAAAAAATATAAAACTTATTAAGGAGTTCTAGAAACGAAAACTATTTGATTCGAAATTTGATAATTATTGTAAATGTTTTACCTCCATCTAGCTCCAGTATCGTTAATTCTTGCTCCCGAAGCTAGCAAATGCAGTCTTAGAACTTCAGAAACCGTCACAGAATACAGCGGCAATCTTCCTAAAGGTAATCCTTGATGCTTATTGCTCCAACTCGAAGCCATCGTTGCCAAACGCGTTCCTTCTGTCAAACTTAAGTTTTCTGATACGTCTTCATCTTTAATGTCTGCGAAAACAAAAACGTCGTTATTTAAAATAAAAAATTTCACATGTAATATGTCAAACGTCAATCTTTCACTGTTAATTGTCAAGTTTCCAGTCAGTATTCATGCATCAAACGTAAGTCGTCAAAGTTCCAGTCAGTTGTAAAATGTGATTTGTGGAAATTATCGACTTACCCGCGGCGTTTTCTATGGCCGTCCTGTACTGGCCTGATTCCTCATCTTGTACGTTGAAGAGGGCAGTCAAGAAAAGCTGAATGAGATCGGTGAGGGGTCCTGCGATTTCTTTTTCTGTCAGAGCGCGTTCCATCAGTTCTAGATTGATGCCACCCGGAAAGAAATCTTTGGTAGATAGTAGCTTGGAGAACGATTCGACGAACTCCATGATCATCAAGATGTCGCCGAAGTATTTGTCAGGCACTTTGGTTTTGACAGGTGTGAAAAGAGGTAGTTTCTAAAAGTTGGATTAGGGATTCAGTAGCGCGGTTATAAAAATTCGAAAACGTGTAGGATTAAATAAAAATAATAAATTTCTTACAAATACTTTAAGCAAATCTACTCACCTGTTGATTTTCCAACTCGGTATCTTCCTTAGGCTGCTGCCACTTTCTAATAATATTATTCAACCGAATGCTGTCCTGTTTCTGTTTCTTTTTTATAGCGAGCTTCTCCACCTCCTTTAGCTGTTGCTTCAATTTGAACTCCTCCTCGCGCTTTTTCATCTGTTCCAACAAATTCGCGTGCTTTTCGCTATTCTTCTCTTTCGATTTTGGCGAGACGTTTTCGCCGTTCATTTTCGTCAGGAATTTAGCCAAGGATTCCTGATTCATTTTCTTCTTGCCATTAGGTACTCGTTCTTTTCGTTTGGTGACTGCGAAATCGGGGGCTGGACCATCGAATATTTGATCGAATTTCATTTTGGCGATGCCCAATTCGTCAATGACCAACGGTTTGATGATGAACATACCTTTGGAGTCATGCTCGACATACTGTTTGAGAAAGAGTTTGCACTTGTCCCGATTGAAGGAGCCTTTTCGGCGTCGAATTTGGTTGCAGTCGACGATCATGATTTCGCTGATGTCGTTATCGTCGGCGTCCAAGTGCTCAATTTCGTATTTGAAAAGGTTCGAGGGTGGCCAAAAATGGTGGTCCATTTTGGTGCTAAATTAAATTTACAATTATTATTCTTTTAGGGGTTCTCTTAGGTATATACTTTAGCTAATTTTTAGAGTAAAAATAAGTAGGAAATAAATTTGTTTCGGCAATTTAAATCGACAAAATCTCTGCAATAAACTTTTAACTTTTAAACTTCATTCATTTCAGTAAAGATACAAAAAAATATATCTAAAACAGAAGAGGAGTTATACACGTGAAAATGGTTGTTTAGACAACTTAAAAAATTAAAATACACTTATTTTATCTTTTTTCAATTATGGGAGTGCGTTAATATTTTAATGTCAAAAACTGAAGAAGTTACACACGTAAAAATTTATATTTAGAAACTACTGTAAAAATAAAAATACACATATTTTATACTATTTTTTATTTTATATATTATGTAAACTACTTAACTTATTACTGTAATTTGATTACTTTGTAAGAAATGGATTTTTCGTTAATTTGGTTTTTTTTTTATAGAGAAAACACGTGTTTTATGAGGGCATACGAGGGCATTCCCGATTCGAAGGACTCCTTAGTATACTGAGAATAGTAGAAGATAATGAGTGCAGATTCTGTGAGGAAGAGGAGGAAACCTCCATTCACATTTTGACTGAATGTGTAGCACTGCAGAATCCAAGGGCATTATACCTAGGAGCATATCAAATAGAAGAAGGAGATTTATCTAATTTGAAGCCACTTCAAATTCTACACTTCCTTAAGAACATAGGATTGGAAGGGTCATTATAGGCATCAAGACATTTCCTTGCTGGATTAGCTACAGAAAGGGACACAATAGATCGTTTAGATCGCAGTGTATTAAAACCCCATTCCCAACATAACATACTACCGTAATTTGATTACTTTGTAAAAAAATGATTTTTCGTTATTATAGCTTTTTTTATAGAGAAAACACGTGTTTTAAGTGGGTTAATTTTTTTATAATTTCTCTTTCGCTGAAAAGTTATAAACGTGAGTTTGGTTAGTTAGAAACTAATTTAAAAATAAAAATACACGTATTTTGTCTTTATTTTTTTGTTATGGGAATGCGTAAATATTTTATTAAATTTTCCATTTCTCAAAGACAGAAAAGGTTACACACGTGAAAATTGATATTTAGAAACTACTTTAAAAATTAAAATACACTTATTTTGTCTTTTTTTAACTACGGAGTGAGTCAATATACCTACCTCAAAAATAAAAGATTGTTACACATCACGGTGCTTGGGAACCAACTTTAAATGAAAAGTTTATTTACTAGACTTTTTTTTCGGTCAAAGTATTTCTGAAGGGCTATAGATTGGCGCAATATATTTTTTAAAATCGGTTCCAGCAGCAGTTTTTGAGAACTCGATTTTTAATGAAAAAGTGACCTTTTTTTACTTTTTTGCTTGTAACTTGCGCATTTCACATTTTCTCGGCTTGCCAAAAGTAAATTTCAATGGGAAAATGTCCACTCTACAAAAAAGCATGAATGACTTTTTTGTAGAGAGGGCATTTTCCCATTGAAATTTACTTTTGACAAGCCGAGAAAATGTGAAATGTGCAAGTTACAAGCAAAAAAGTAAAAAAAAAAAGGTCACAAATGAGATCTCATTTAACACAAAATCGGCTGATTTTAGAGAAAAAGTCATTGATGCTTTTTTGTAGAGCGGAGATTTTGCTATTGAAATTTACTTTTGGCAAGCCGAGAAAATGTGAAATGCGCAAGTTACAAGCAAAAAAGTAAAAAAAAAAGGTCACTTTTTCATTAAAAATCGAGTTTTCTCAAAAACGGCTGCTGGAACCGATTTTAAAAAATATATTGCGCCAATCTATAGCCCTTCAGAAATACTTTGACCGAAAAAAAGTCTAGTAAATAAACTTTTCATTTAAAGTTGCTTCCCAAGCACCGTGACATGTGGCTAGCGTTGCCACCTTTTTGAAAAGTGAATAAAGGAACATTTCAAAAATATCTTGATAGTACCGGCAGAGTATCACAGTAAAGCAGTAAAAATGCGTTTTTTCATTTTTTAATAGTGATGGGTCGCTTGGAAAAGACCGACGAAACACACTTTTCAAAAGTGCATGCGCGAAATTAAATTAACTAATTCGTCCGAATTTCTTACAAATAAAGGCAAAATATAGTTTAAAAAAGAAGAAACGACAAATTTTTACAGACTTTTATAATATTGTAACCGTGTTTTCGAATTTTCGTTTCATATCTTATTAAAACAAATTGGTCAAAAAATTAGCAAAAAATCCAAAGGTTGGAAGTATTTTACAAATGGTTTGTCTAAAATGGCGAAAATACAAAAGCAAATATTGTTCTCAAAGTGTTTTTGAAAAAACGTCCAGGATGGAGATTTAACAGTGTGTCTTCTATGCTCAAGGTCGACTACTTTTCATTGTGACTTTTCATTACTTTTCACAACTTTTCCGGACATGTCCGTCGGATCAGTCCAAAAATTACTTTTTGTGAAAAGTCCCATATCTACTTTTTATTAATTTATTAGGTTTAATTATTATATATAAAATAAATATACATAACTAAAAAACTAAAAAATGCCTTAAGGTATCGTTTAGCTTGTGCGTCAGCTAAATTCAGCGTCCGGCTCATAGACTGAAGGCTGCTTAATTTAAAATTATAAAATGGTTCAATCTGTGCGACGCTGGCAGTGGATACACAAGTGGAACCAACATACATCTAGAAAAAAACGCATACATGTAGAATGATGAAGTGTGAAGTAAAAACCGCACTGGGACTGAGTTTCAATTTCTGGGAGCGCGAGGGATGCGTCGGTGCTGTTGCGAAAAACTAGTGGTACTTATTGAAATATAGTCTTTACAAGTATTAAAAGTAATTTTAAAAAACCGACTTCAAAATCGTGTAGATGCTGTCACCACATCTTAACCAAATTTATATGGGACCACCCCTGAGGTACCCCCTTACTAACAAAAAAGAATCATAGAAATCGGACAAGGTGGTAAAGAATCCGCTAAACATACATAAAAAATAAAGAGTTTGAGGATTTTTCTCATGGAACCAATTATTAGATTTTGACCAAATTTATATGGGGCCACCCCTGAGGTACCCCTTACTAACAAAAAAATAATCATAGAAATTGGAGGTCGTAAAGAATTACCACTAAACATACATTAAAAATTAAGAGTTTGAGGATTTTCTAATGGACTCAATAATTAGATTTTGACCAAATTAATATGGGACCACCCCTGACGTACCCCCTTTCAAACAAAAAAGAATCATTGAAGAATCATTCAAATATTACGACGAATTGAGAACCTCCTCCTTTTTCAATCGACTTCAAAAAAGGAGGAGGTTCTCAAACATTTTAAGTTTTAAAAAGTTACAAGAACAATAGGTTTGAAAAAAAGACAGGTGACAACCCTACATGTGAAAATTGATATTTAGAGACTACTTTAAAAATAAAAATACCTACACATATTTTGTCCATTTCAGTTAGTGGGGTGGGTCAATATTTTTATGGGGATTTTTCTCTATTTCAAAAACACACATGAAAATGTTTTCTTTCTCCATTTATGGAGGAGCTCTTTTTTAATATTTCTATATCTTTAAAACATAAAATGTTATAAACATGAAAATTAGTATTTAGAGCATAATTTAATAGTAAAGAAATGTTTTTAGAGACTACTTTAAAAAGAAATAAAACAGAGTTTTTGTCTTTTTCCAGGTACGGGGTGGGTCAATTTTGTTATTAATATTATTAATTTTAATTTGAAAGTAGGTACATAATTTAGCACTACAATCAGTTGGTTACTGATATAACTAAAAAATGTCATGTATTTTAGTTATTATTTTTAATATATCATTCTTTCAAAAAAAATATAGGTATGGTCATGGCACTACTTATGGCCACTGCCCTACTAATGGCCACTTCTTGCTTTAAGATCTAAAAATAAACATTTAGCCACAATATAAACAAAAATGCTGGTTAGAGGAGGTAAAAGAGCATGTGGTAACATGATTGGGCAGGTTTGCAACAAATAAACCAAGTCCATTGGAAATCAGTAAAATAGATAGTTAGTATGTGTATAGAGAAAGTAAATGTTGAAAAGTCTTTTGGTAGGTAGAGAGGGGGTAAACGTCAAACCACGTCGGGCGGCTCCGAGAATTTCACAGTAGTGTTTACCTGCCAGTGTCGTTTCATAGAATAAGTAATTTTAAATTGTTATCGGCGGAACCGGACAATCGCATGTATTTATGGATTATAAATAATTATTAAACATGTATTATAATATTCAAATTATAATTTTACAAAATTTCAACAGCTATTCACAATTTATTAAACTATTTACTCGAAATTGTTATTAACATCTATAAAATAATTTTGTACGCCAATGTATCCCGTTCACTTCAGTGATATCCGCTGCCAACCTGTCAATTTATGTGTATAAAGTGGGAGAACTGGCAAAAGCATTTCCAACTTTTACTTCTGTTCTAATACATGCAAGCATCACTTGTTGTTTTGACTAAGAATTTGTCTGTAAACATGTGAACAAAAATCAGATTTATTAAGGATATTTTTGAACATTTGCTATTCCAGAGGTAATGTTAATACAAATGTATTTTGTTTTCAACATCATATATTTTTTTTTAAATAAAAATAAATATCAGGTTGGCCATTAGTAATGACTAAAAATTAAGAATTGGTTAGTTATGGTCATATGAGTGGCCATAAGTAAAATCTCATATTTTACTTATGGCCACTGCAGTTATGTGGGTTGAGGGGTAAGGTAGCAATTGAGTTTTTTTTAACTAAGAAGATGAAATATCACTGGCATCTGACAGCAGTGGCCGTTTCTCATAAATAAAACCAGCAGTGATTATGCAGTTAGGAAAAACATTAAAACCGGGCGACTTTATATTTGTACAATTTAGTGCCTGTGGTAAAAGACGATCAACTGTGTATAAATATGTTGCAACTGTATGTCAAACTATGAAAAATGAAATAGAAATCCACAAACAAAGAAAAAACTACTCTTACTTTAATTCATTATTTCTTGTTTTTGAATATTAATTTTAAAATTCTTGAGTCATAAATGGATATGCAGTCATTTAGATTAGTAATAATGGCATACGCTTAAGCCTTTTAGTAAATACAAGTGAAGTGGAGATATGTAAACTTAAAATCGCTTTGTTTTTTGAAATACCGCTTTTTGGCTTAGGAAGGCAGTATATTGAAAATGAGATTTTTACTGTTCCCATATCTGATGTTTTAGGACTGTTAACTGATCATTCTCTAGTAGAACAAGGTTGAAAATTTGTTATAACATTTTTAGAAAGTGTTAATGAATAAATTTCATAATAATTTTAATTTTGTGTACCTTATTCTAAATCATTGATAAGTACATACATGTAAATTAAAATATAAACATGCACTTAAATTAATATTTAAAAATGCAACTTAAAAATTAGTGGCCATAAGTAAAGAACTAGTGGCGGACTGAAAGTAAAGAATTTCTTCCACTTTTATAAAAATAATGTAAAAAAGAATTACATGCTCTTAACAAAATAGATACATATACTATTGAAAACCACATACTTCAACCTATCAAATGGTATTTTTATTTATTTTTTCTGTTACAATATTATTGAAAAATAGACCCCACAAAAGCATTTTTGCCTTAAGGTGGCCATAAGTAGTGCCATGACCCTATATTGTTGTACTCACCCATTTTTGGGCACACTCTTCAAAATCTCATCAGTGGGTGCAATGACCTGAAGCACGTGCGAATCCTTCCATTTATTTCCGGTAAAAGAAGTCTCCAAATTCTCCCCAATGAAATACCTGTCCTTAACGTAATAGAACACATCATCTGCCATATCAGCAAATGAAGTACGGTGAGTTTTGCTGGCCAAATACAAAATAGGCAATCTCAATTCAAGAGGAAATTCTTTGAGGCTCTGCCTCGCATTGTCTTCACTTTCTAAGGCTTCCTGGTAGGTCAGATTTTGCTTACCTGTCATGCAACATGTCCATACCATGGAGTTGTACAAGAACATGCGTTCAGAAAATTCCCTGCAAAGTTGTTTTTTGTAAATTGATGTTTCGTTTTGTACATAAAAATGCTTTTGCCATTTAAAAAGAGTAGATTTTAAAATAATGTTGAGAACTCCATCATGCATATTTAAAAAAATACCTATATTTTTACATTTGGGTGAACAAACTGTTCTTTCCAAAAGTAACAAATCTTTGGGATCAATGACTTTATACAAATAAAGACAGAGAATGATATGATGTGTATTTCAAATGTTTTAGGTACCTACAATATAAAAAACAACAGAAAATTATAATTTAACCATTTAAAAAATATAAAAATATAAATATGTATATAATCCTTCTTTAATATAAATATTATTTTAACCATTACGCAATTTTTCACCATAGGTATTAAAGTATTAATTATAGGTATATCAATTTTAAAAACAAATGTTTTTTCTTTTGGTTGATTTTAAAGTGGCATATCTTTATTTAAAATATATGTTAATCCAACCATAGAACTTGTGCGGTCAATATCGCAAGTAAAACGATTATACAGCAATTTTTGATAGGGCATTTTAATTGTTGATAGTCCCTTTAACATAACCTCCAAAAAAATTAACAACATATTCGTAAATTGGGATAATTTTTGAGTTTCGTTAATAAAACGATGTTACATATGACAAAGGATATCGAGCAGAACGGGAACCGTTACGATTCACGCGATGTCTAGCCAGAAATGCGGTATGTATGGTTTGATCAAATTTTCATCTTTCACTTACTCATAATCTCTGAAAATTTCGTTGGTGATTTCGCAGTAAAACACTTCCTCCTCGTCCCTCAAGTACTCTGTAATAGTATGCTTTTCGAAAGCCTTTTTCTTCAATAGTGGCATATCGGAAGTAAAACATGCAACTGACTATTTGGAGGGAAACTAATGATTCACTTGATCGACACAAACAAACTTCACTTAAACACAAATTTACATTACAAATTATGATACTGACGTTATCGTGGAAAAATAATACGCAGGATGATTTTTTAGAGATGAATGTGTCAAATTATTTTGGAAAAACTTTTTGGCTTCTGGTACCAGTCCACTATTACCTGCGCCAAGCGTTTCAAGTGGAAGAACAGAGGTCGAGGATTGAATGAAGAATCGCGCAAGACGAAGAATTTATTGTTTGTTCCGTTGTCCAAGTACACATAAAAATAATATGCTCTATCCTTTTTTAACTCACTGAAATTCACACTCTTTCACATGTTCGGAGCAGTTCCGATATACAAAAATCACTGCAGAGTAGTGTCACATGCCGAAACTGTCATGGGACATTTAAAAACAGCGTTGCCAGAGTTTTAAAATTAGGTTTGATTTCGTTACAAGTACATAACTAAAATTTTTAAATTTTTTGATATAAACTACTTTGTCCAAAGTGATACAGTTTTAAAGTCAATTAGACTAAATAATTCCTTTAATTGCTAGCCTTATCCAAATCGGGGAGCGAGGAGTTTAAAATTACTTGTAAAATATTTTTTCGATATTCTAGATTATTTTTATTTGAAAATAACAATTAATAGGATATACATGTTACGATTCAAACAAAATAATAGATTACTTAATTTAATTAAGAATTATGTGTTACCAATGTATAAATTAATTTATCTATGGTGTTACCAGTACCAGACACGGATCAGTAGCCAGTAGCCACTAAAACTAACATAACCTGTAAAATATTTTCTAATAAATATCGTTTTAACTAACTAAAATTGGTATATTTTCGAATAGTATATTTAAAGATCGAGAAATGCGTTTTGTTCCTTCATAAAACGGCATTCTAAACAGTGTATTATTTAAAAAAAAATGTCTGTTTTAAAACGTGTACAGGTAAGAAAAAATTTCATTGTTCACTAGTTTTTAAAATAAACATAATTTTGGTTACAGCAATGGGCAACTTTTGCTCGAATTTGGCACTTATACGACGCAGCATGGCAAAATCCTTTCTACTCGGCAGAGTTACTAAAGAAATACCTCATGGGTGCACACAAACCTATCTATCACCCAATGAGTAAGTTTATTTAATGAATTGCTGCTATATTGTACAATTTTGTGAATTTGAAGTAATTTAAAATATTTTAGATGATTGTGGTGATCATGTAATAGTAATAAATAGTTCAGATATTGCTTTACCAGGAGATGAATGGAAGAAAAGGGTGTATTTTCATCATACTGGCTACCCAGGTGGCGCCTCTTGGACCCTGGCTTGGGAATTACACAAAAAAGATCCCACATTGGTAATGTATTTGTAAACAAATTAACAACAATCTAATTTTTAACTTTTAGGTTTTAAAAAAGGCAGTGTATAATAGCATGGATGGCAATTTGCAAAGGAGGTACACAATGGAAAGGCTTCATATCTTCCCGGACGCCAATGTACCATCAAATCTCTTAAGCAACATTTCGAATCAAATTAAACAGCTAAGGCCTAAGCCCAAGAGGCTGGACGAGTATACCGAGAAGGAAATTCAGGAATTCCCGAAACTTATAGATTTACCCAAAAATCATATTTTAAGATAAAATAAATAAAAGTAGAATTTAGAGGATAGTTTGTGAATAAAATTAAGAAACTGAATTGTTTTTGATTTTTATTGAAGATACATAATTTATTAAATCACTGGAACATGTAGGTAAACAAGTCTGTATATCTCCTTTATATGTCTAAATTATGTTCTAAGGTATATCTGATTCAATAATTATTATTATATTATTTATAATTCACAATTGGGCTGCCAGATGGACACGCTCCACATTGTATTTTCCCTTAAATCAATACTAACAAACTATTTGAGAATCTATGGATTAAAAAAATGAAACTTGCTTATTTGATGTATAGTCACTGAGAAAAAAAATCACTTCTAAATTTGGTGAAAGAATTGTTAAGAGAAGAAAACAAATTTTAATGGTTGTAGGGAGAATGCAACAGACTACATTCCGAAATTTCTCTGGCTCTCAATACTTATTTTCAGAAAATCACAGATTACATTTTTTTGCAAAATAAATATAGTTTTGATAACCCTAATCTTATTCTTACATGTACAATTTAAACTGAAGATGTAATTTGGATGGAAGAAATAAAAAATGCTTCAATAAACTATGTATGTTTAATTTTGATAACACAACGACTGAACAATAATTTCTTCTACCATTTTTTAGATACATCATTATAATCACCGTCCGGACTTTGGTAATTTTCTATAGGCGGCGTTTCGACAGGGCCTTCGATTTTATAAGGCATCATCATTAAATCAGGCTATAAAATAAAAAATATATATATTTAGCTTATTTTCAATAAATTAATGTACCTGTATGGCTTCTTGGTAAAGTTGTTCCGATTCTTTTCTGAGTTCATCCAAAGCCTTTTGTTGGGCAAATTGTATTCTATCTAACATCTGCATGTCAACCAAATGCTGTTCTCTTTTGTATCGACACCATTTTTTCTCTAATAATGCTCTATTTTCTAAAATTTCTTCTGATATACCTGGTAAGTTACGTTGACGATTTCTAGAATAAAAACAAATTAATTTTGATACTTAAAAAAACAAGTAGGTGCTTACTTTAAAGTATCTAGAATCTCGAAAGGTATTTCACATTCAGATATCGGCTTTAATTTACGGGCATTTTTCTCAAGTTTTCTGATAGCTTTTTCAATTTTTTTCTTTTTTTTTTCCTCTCTAGCTTTAATGATAGCTGGGTCCATTTTTTTCTTCTTTTTCAAAGGCTCCGCCCTAAAACACGTCCTTTTTAATGAATCATTTATAAAACTGTTTAACTTACAATAGGACCGGAGTACTTCTGAACAGCATGGGGGCGTTTAAGGACACATTTCTAATTAGAGTTGGGACTTTTATTAACGATAACCTAGAAAGTAAAATTATTTAGATATAAATATGATAAATGCACAACATTGTACCTTGTTAAGCTGGAAACGAGATTATTAATGCTCATTTCTATTAATTATTTGTTTTAATTTCAATTTTGTTAAAAAAAAATATAAAAAACATCGTGTGGTTATAGCTACTATTACGACTCCGTGTTATACCAAATACCAATTTTATATGCTCCTCTAAAATAAAACAGATTTGTTTAATATTTTTGTCTAAAACATGAAGTTTAATTATTATTATTATTATTATAATAATAAATAAAACTTATGTACGCAACTACATTATTTTATTTTTTATTTCTGCCCTCTATGCTGTAGAAACGATATATAATAGGTCATACAAATAAAAGAAGACTAGGCATTCCAACGACTGTCAAAATGCTGACAAAAGGGAACTGACGGAACTCACAGTTTAGATATGGCAACCCTGTTCTATTGTCAATAATTCATATTATATAGATTGCTCAAAGCTTGTGGCCGTATTTCCTCGCAAGTGCTCATTAATAAAAATCGGTTTAGTAAAAATGTGTTTACAAACCAATTTTCAGCCTTTGAATATAGTAAAAAAATTAACTACATTTTTACTTCAAGGCATGGGCTCATGTTTATTTTGAAAAACATAGATGATCAATCTCTATAACTATTTATTTCATTGACCCTGTCAAATCACCAATCGTTGCCTTAATTTTACCATATACCTGTCAAAACTCACTGTTAGCCATTTTGTTTGGAATGCCTAATACTAATAGACAAGATAGTAAATTAAAGAGGAGTTCAAAATACCCAAGAAGTTACTGTATAAAAAAAGTAGAAGAAGCTGTATAAATGCCGAAAAAAAGTCAGAAAAAGAATGTTAGCTGTATATTTAACAACAAAAGGCTGTATGTTGCTGTATACTTGTAGATAAAAGGCCATAAAGTGTCACCTAAAGAAACGTAACTAGCTTCGTTTTTATTTATTACATGTTAAGGTTAAGTGAATGATTACCGCCAAAAATTAGTTATATTTTCCATAAAAAAAAATGGATAAACGTAAGAACTCTTCACCCCATCATGGGGCGAAAAAAATGAAGTGGGTATATTTTAAAATTTGTAATATATGTATGAGGGACAATTATGTTGTTTTATGTTTATTTTGATTTTGAATTAATTATGAAGTTCATGTTTATATTGAATTGTTGGTTTATTTTTAATTATTGTATATTATCTTTGATAAATAAAGTTACTTATTTATTTATATCGATTTTTTTAGATCAGATACTTTTCTGCGGCCATTAGTGCCTGTTTTGAATCCCAGAAAAGATAATTTGATATTCCAAGAGTTAGAATTGGAACACTACATCGGCCGCTTTTATCCTGGAATGCCCGGCCCCCAAATAGGCGCCGTTCCCATTATACGTCTATTCGGAATTACAAAAGCTGGAAATAGTGTGTGCTGTCACGTTCACGGGTTTTCGCCTTATTTTTACGTTAATTTACCGAACGCTTTGAGCAATATCGAATTGATTACTTTCAAGAGTAAGCTGAATGAAGCTCTTTTAGCCGATTTCAGTACCAAAGGTTTGTAGCCATAAAATTATACCATTTAAATTGCAAATCAAATGTTTTCTATAATTCTATTCATTAAACCCTACATTAAAATTTTAATACGTTAGATGTTAGTGATTATTAAGCTATTGCATAGCTTTTATCGCGGGCTTTGAGCGCGGTGACCGAATCAAGAAATTCCGTAAGGCGTAACGAAAAAAAATCTAACACCCCCCACTCCGCCCTGCACAGCGGTGCGGCGTTAAACAATATTAACTTCTCATTTATTCAATCGAAATATCGAAAATCCAAAAAACCGAAAAATCAAAAAAGAAATTCCGTAACGAAAATAAACCTAACACCCCCACTCCGACCGGCACAGCGGTACGGCGTTGAAAGCCGTGTATCGTCTAACATCGTTTCAGTTCGGCAGACTCCGGCACGGTGTTTGTGTGCGTGCGCGACTAGACGTATGCCTGTAGACTAGCTGCTAACTGATTCTATCTCTTTTAGACACAATTTCGGAAAAATTTAATTTGAAAATGAATAATGATCCACAAGAATCCACAACAAAATATGGGACCACCATTGACGCGGTATTTTCCAGATATTTAGAGGATATCAAGTCTCAAACTTATGTTTCTTATTTCAGTTACCATAAACCTATAGTTTCAATGATAAAAATTCCTGAATAACCTACATGTATTGTAAGATAATAAAAATATTTTAAACAATATTAACTTCTCATTTATTCAATAGAAAAAAAAAATTGTTTTCTTATCGGCCACCACACTCAAAAAGTGTAACTTGAATTAATATCAAAGAAAAAACTTGAATTAATATCAAAGAAAAAAAAATACTGCATAAATAAAATAAATAATTATAATTGCATAAGTTGATAAAAATGCTATGCAATAGCTTTACCGCGGCAGTCCCCGAGTGCCACACGTATTTTTTTTTTATTTTTTTAAACGGAATCAAACCCATTACAAAGGAAAACAAATAAAAGTTATACAAATAATTGTAAATACATTGAGTCTTACCCCCCCTATCTAACTCGTTACTGGAGTCTTGTTAGGAAAATCGCCGAGACAGGTCGATTTTTGATTTCTACAATGTACATTTTTGTATGAATAGTTTACCCTTAATTTCATCCCTTACTGGAGGGGAGCAACCCTTTCGAAAAATTTATATGGCATGGGGTGGTGAGTGATAGCTCATTTGAAAGAGGGTTTTATTCTCTATTCAACCGTGTAAAAAAATTTGAAATTTGTTTCATTAATTCTCGACTAATTGTTGTTTCTGAATAACGGAAATTAACGTAGCGCACTCATCCTTAGAATTAAAATTCGGCCCTGCATGACTTCGGTTTTGGTTCAGACGTGAAGTAAGACTTTTTGCCATTAGAAGGTCACTGTTAGTCTAGTTGCTTTCCTATTTTGTGAGGTTTTGTTATTTTTAAACATTAATAAATCAACATGTAATGATGCAAATTTCAAAAAATTTTTGCACAGTTGAATAGAGAATAAAACCCCCTTTCAAATGAGCTATCACTCACCACCCCATGCCATTTACATTTTGCGAAAGGGTTTTTACCCTCCAGTAAGGGATGAAATTAAGGGTTAACTAATCATGCAAAAATGTACATTGTAGAAATTAAAAATCGACCTGTCTCGGCGATTTTCCTAACAAGACCCCAGTAACGAGTTAGTTAGGGGGGGTAAGACTTAAGATGCTCACTGTATAAAAATACATAATTGGCATTATGAAAGTCATAGTAGAATTTTGTATATTTCAGATGATTTAAATTTGACTCGCCTGTATTAAAAGTTACTGAGTAACTTACATGGTGGATACTACTATCAAATAATGGATCAGTTAATAAAACTACTACTTCCAAATCAATCAAATTTGTAAAAAGTAAATCTAACAGTACATTTCTATTATTAGGTATAGTATTTTTTGGAAATAGATTTAAAAATGAAAAATGTTGAGCCAATAATAAAGAATGTGAACCTTGAGGACAGGTTATATCATTTATGGTAAAAGAACAAAAATTCTTGATCTGCATAATTCAGTTTTTTGGGTTGTAATTATGATGTAACTGTGTCTGTCGAGACCTGGCTTACCTTTAAGTTTTACAACAACCAGCTGAGCTGAAATGGGTATACAATTTTTTGATGTGACAAAATTTTGAAAAATGCCTATGTATAAAAGTATTGTTTTTGGCAAGTTCTATAACTGGGTAAAATAAATATCCTTATTTATCTATATGAAAATTATCTCACATTTATTTAAAACTATTAAAAATTGAATAAATTGTTTTATTGTTTGATTTTAATTGAAGGTGGCGAGTTACCGGAACCCGTGTTAATGGTAGAACAAGTCCAAGGAAAATCTTTGATGGGATACAGCGGAGATGAAGATAAAACGTTTGCGAAAATTACCGTTGCTATACCGAAACTTGTAGCTGCAGCTAAAAGAATAATATCGAACGTTTGTTTCTACAAACCCTTAGAATCGTACTCTTTTTCCATGTACGAATCCAATGTGGATTTCGAAACTAGATTTATGGTGGACACGAACATTCTAGGCTGCTGCTGGATCGAACTTCCCGCTGATAAATGGTATAGAAGATCAAGCACTTCAGATATCCAAGGTGTAAGCAGATGTCAGATAGAAATTGACGTATCTTGGACCGATTTCATTGTTCATTCACCGGAAGGTGAATGGTCTTCTGTAGCCAAATTCAGGATACACAGTCTTGATATAGAATGCGCTGGTAGGAAAGGTATTTTTCCCGAACCCAAAGTCGATCCAATCATTCAGATTGCTAATGTCGTTAAAAATCACGGAGAAAAGGACATCCTCTATAGAAATATATTTACTCTTAAATCTTGCGCTTCTATTGGCCACGCTGATGTGTACAGTTTTGATACAGAGGAGGCTATGTTGGAAGCTTGGGCTGATTTTGTGAGGAGCTTGGATCCGGATGTATTTACAGGTAAAAAATAATATTTATTAATTTATTTATTTGTATCCAAACAGGCCAACAGCCTCTTTACATGGATAAAAGTGTCGTAATACATAAATAATAATAATAATAACAGTAGGTAATTACAGCTAATATCACAACTTATACAGTATTAAGAGTAATGTAATAATTAATCAAGGGTAATGTAATAATCAAATACAAGTTTTCGGAACATATTAAACGGTAATATCCAGTCTACATCAATACAAATATTTATATGTTAAAATTACGTTATCATTATATTTTAATGGGTTATTGAAATAGACTTATTTGTAGCCATGCCAATAGTCGATATTTACAATTTTCAGGTTACAACATCAACAATTTCGATTTCCCCTATATGTTAGACAGGGCTAAACACTTAAAACTGAAAAAATTCGACCATTTGGGGCGACTTCTTAACGTACAATCCGTAGTTAAAGAAACGGTAACACAAACGAAGATCGGCAAAAGAAGCTACAAATCTATCAACTTTGAGGGCCGCGTGGCCTACGATATGCTGACGGTGGTGAAGAGGGATTTCAAATTGAGATCGTACACTTTGAACAGCGTTTGTCAGGAGATTTTGGGCGAGCAAAAGGAGGACGTGCATTACAGTATCATTACAGATCTTCAAAATGGCGACGAACAAACTAGAAGAAGATTGGCGGTTTATTGTTTAAAGGATGCTGAGCTGCCACTGCGATTGCTCAGTACCGTGCTTAGCTTCACTAATGATATAGAAATGGCTAGGGTGACAGGAGTGCCGATCACCAGTCTGTTGACCAAAGGGGAACAAGTTAAGGTGATAGCGCAGCTGCTTAGACACTCCAGACCGGCGGGGTACTTCATGCCCGCATATCATGGTATGTATAATATAGTAATTATGAAATATATATTGTGTGTGCCATAAAGTTGGATCCATACTGTTTTTTTATTTCAACTGGAAAAAAAAACCCAATCTTATTTTAACTTTGAAAAAATGGCCAATCCACATAAGGGCACAAAAAAGATGTATAATGGTTTAGAATTATTTTTCAAAGTTTGACCACCCTCTAAAATAATTATAGTTATATGAAAATACAATTTTCGAAATGGAATTTTGACTTTAAAAAATGGCCAATTGACAGGAAAGCACACTAAAGATCCTAAAAGGCTTCTATATTTTACGACCCCCTAAAATAATTATAATAACACCAAAGATTGTGAAAATTCGAAAAATACAATTTTCAAACCGAATTTAGACTTGGAAAATATAGTCAATCAACTGCAAAGTGAAATAAAGATTGTAATTCGATTTGAAATTATGTTTTTCGAATTTTCACACCTTTTCAGTCATTATAATTATTTTAGGGGGTGGTCAAACATTGCAACATAATTTTAAATTATGCATCTTTATTGCGCCTTCCTGGTAGTATTAAGAATGCCATCTGATAGAACACCTAGTATTCATGACTAGGAAACCTTTTGATATTAAAATACCAGAAAAGGCCAAAAGCTGGTAAAATAGGGAAATCCAAAACGAATCAATCTGATATACATATTATTATTAACCTGATGGGGTAGAAATTTTGAGGGGTACAATAAGCCTAGAGCTTCAGTACGAGTGGGCTTTAAATCGCGCCCTAATTCAGATAGACAGATACTTTATTGAAGTAGGATAAAGCTAATATACAAAAAAAATATTTATTTATTTACTTATTATTTATTTATTGTCTTAAGTAATATAAAAATACAAATAAAATTGTTACACATTTAAAACGTAGAAGATAATCATTATTAACATAATCTGAGTTAAAAAAAAATTAGTTACACATTAAAAAGATACTTTCAATCTAGAGTTTAAACAAAAGATAAAAAAATACTCCAAACCCGTTATCCATCCATATCAAACTGGACATAAAATCGATTCAATTACTGCATCAAGAACAATAAAAATAATTGGCCAGAAATGCTTTACTCATCAGGGCCCTAAATTATATAATCAACTTTCCTCTGATATTAAAAGAATCAACTCATAAAACTTATTTAAAAAGAAAATAACTGAATGGATTTTAAGTTTACCATTCACAAAATTAAAACAATTCCTCAATTCAAAACTTGTCATAGTCTGAAAGATTACTGACGTTCTTTCATTCATGAAATCATGAGAAACTCTAGCGTTTATCGCCATAGCAAAACTAATTAGTTATTTTGTGTTTTTTATTTAATCAAATTTATATATTTTACAAATATTATTGTTGTAGCAAGGAAATAAAAATGAATTTTTTCACTCATGCTCAGAATTTTCCAATTGTAGGATTTTATTTTTATTAATCAGTATAACAAATTATTAATGTATGTATTTTAGATATTATTGTTTTTTCATGGTATATAAAAATTACTATTACTTTAATACTATTACAGCCTTTATATATCCCTTTCTTTCTAAGGTGGTCCCCCTTCTGACCAATACGAGGGAGCTACAGTCATCGAACCCATCAGAGGCTACTACACCGAACCAATAGCGACGCTAGATTTCAGCTCGCTGTACCCCAGCATCATGATAGCCCACAATTTATGTTATACGACTTTGATCCAACCAGGTCAGAAATTGGAACTGACGGACGATCAAATCACTAACACTCCAGCGGAGTGTCGATTCGTAAAATCCACCGTTAGGCCCGGTTTGTTGCCGCACATTCTACAACATCTTTTGGCCGCCAGAAAGAAAACCAAAGCGTTGTTGAAGGACGAAAAGGATCCGATCGTTCAGACTGTTTTGAACGGTCGACAATTGGCATATAAGATTTCCGCTAATTCTGTTTATGGTTTCACCGGAGCTCAGGTCGGGAAACTGCCGTGTTTGGAGATATCCGGTAGCGTTACGGCGTACGGTAGAAGCATGATCGAGCAAACGAAACAGGAAGTTGAACAACATTACACAATCAAAAACGGATATGAATCAGATGCAAAAGTCATCTACGGCGATACGGATTCCGTGATGGTTAATTTTAAAGCGTCCACTTTGGAGAAAAGTATGGAATTGGGACGCGAAGCCGCCGAATTGGTGAGCCAAAAGTTCATAGCGCCGATAAAGTTGGAATTCGAGAAGGTTTATTACCCGTACTTGCTGATCAACAAGAAGAGATACGCTGGTTTATATTGGACGAATACAGAGAAATATGATAAAATGGACTGCAAGGGCATAGAAACTGTCCGTAGGGATAACTGCACTTTAGTGGCCGATATCATAGGGACGTGTTTGCAGAAGCTGTTGATCAACAAAGATCCGCAGGGAGCTGTAAACTACGCGAAACAGGTGATTAATAATAACAATAAACGTGCTTTCTATATTAGTTATGAAGAAAAGAGGAAAACACAAAGTTTGTCAACTACATGATGTTTAATTAGATTCTTTGCAATTCCTTACGACCTTGACATTATTTGAAAACATCTGATTGAAGATCCTGTGGTTGACAGACTTTGTTTTTTTTTCCTTCATGATTTACTTTGGACCACTTTGAGATATGTATATTTGGAAATTATTTATTGAGTTACTTTACCCAATAGAACATCGGCCCAAGTCTTTCAACCCAATGATCATTTTTACAATATTAGAAAATTTTTAAATCTTGTAATCAAGAATTGATGTTTTACAATATTTATATGAACAAGAACAAAATAATGCGATGTGTCCAACACATGACTTTCAAAATATGAGTTCCAAAAAAAATTTATGAAATTGAAATTTTGTGGTATTATAAGTGAATATAATAATTTTGCTCTTTTTGTCAAATTTCTCGAATACGGACCATTTTAAAGAAATCATGTATATGATAAAAATTATAGAGAATGGCATCACAATCAATTTTTATTTGACGAATTTTTTTTTATAGTCGTAAACAACATTTTCTTTTACAATCATAAATAACAGATATTTCTTAAAGTAAAAAAAACGACCCTCTATAAAGTACCCCCCAGATATTCAGACTATGCCCAAAATCTAATTAGGTCACCGCATGATGGAATAAAACTTAAGTGTATAATTTGGTGTTTTTCTCTGTATATGTTCATGAGTTATCGAGTATACAGACACAGAGACAGACAGTTTAAATTTTAATTGCTACTAATATTTCTTGATGTTGGAGCTCAAAAATATTTGGCTCTTGATTTTACTTACTTATTACTATTATTATAGGTGATATCAGATCTGCTGCAAAACAACGTCGATATTTCCCAATTGGTCATCACCAAAGAGCTAACGAAGTCCGATTATACAGCCAAGCAGGCCCACGTGGAGCTGGCTAAAAAAATAACCAAAAGAGACCCAGGGAACGCCCCGAAATTAGGCGACCGTATCCCCTACGTTATCGTCGCTGGCACCAAATCTGCCAAAGCTTTCGAGAAAGCTGAAGACCCCATTTACGTGCTGGAAAATAACATTCCGATCGATTCTAAGTACTATTTAGAAAACCAGCTGTCCAAACCGTTAGTGCGTATTTTTCAACCGATTTTAGGGGATAATGCAGAGTCGATATTACTAAGAGGTGAACATACTCGTACTAAGACAATGGTGACTTCGCGAGTGGGTGCTTTATCAGCGTTTACACAGAAAAAAGAAGTGTGCATTGGTTGCAAATCAGTCCTAACCAAGGGATACGAAAAAGAAGCGGTTTGTGCTTATTGCAAGCCAAAAGAAGCGGCGATCTATCAACAAGAGTTGGGGCATCATAAGATGTTGGAGAATCGGTTCGCGGCGTTGTTTACGGAGTGCCAGCGCTGCCAGGGATCATTGTATGAGGAGATATTGTGTACTAGTAGGGATTGTCCGATTTTTTACATCAGGAAGAAGGTGCAGATCGAGTTGGAGACGACCAGATCGAAGATTGGGAGGTTTGGGGAGCCCGTGATCGTGGAAGATTTGTTTTAAAAATTTTCTTGTATATATTTTTATACGTTATTAAATGTCTGATTTTTGTTGAATGGATTGTTATGATTCATGAAACTGTTGACTTTTTGTATTTTGTCTATTATTATAGCTTATTTTAATTACCTACTCATTAAAATATATAACTTTTATAATCTTGTTTTTTTTTTCTTCTAAAGATTGCTTGCCCTTCATATTGTATCGTTGAATATCATCAATTAAACGAATTTTGAGGAAAAGAAAGGGCCAGCGTTTGCATGCTTTTGTGTAAAGTTTACTATTCTACCATTCTAAGCATAAAAGTTGTATCTAACAATGTCATTAATGATACTAAATATTTCAAATACGGCAATTCTGTTTAAAAATACACCCTAGTTTGTAGATATGACAATTAGTTTTCAATGTAAAATGTGTATTTCTGAATAAATATTGCGAAAGTGATTTTTGGGGTAGTTTGGAAGCGCTACCGTTATGAAATAGACCCATACATATACAGTGTCGGCCACAACGTTTTCCAATACGCTTTGTATAAGTTCATGAGAAAACTACAGATGTTAGCGCTGCTATACTGCCTGACCGCGTTGTAACGTTGGCATATTCTGCAGGCATGTCGGCTCTTTTTAAAATCAATTTTCGCCAAATTTGTGATAAATCGCTCAATCTGACAACACTGCTCTTGACTTTTGTGGACATGGCTTCTGAGTTATTCAGTCACCCGATCTTCTTCTACTTTTTAGATTTTGATACGTTTCTTCGATTCGACACACAGCACTTTCTTCATTTATCATTGGACTCCATATACTTGGTTCAGTCGTTCAGCCCCCATGAAAAAAAATATGACGTTAAGTGACGAGTGACAGATTATGACGTTTAGTGACGAGTGACAGAATTAATCAATGTGACAGAACCTGTATTTTTTAACAACAAAAAATATGTAAACAATAGTTGGTTCATCATTGAATCTATTAAATTGTTGAATAATTGATAATGTTATAAGTCGTATCGGTTACAATGTCAGTCAATCAAAACACGCCGAACAACAAGCAAACGAAAAGCAAGAGAGCACAAATGACTCGGCCTTCAAGTGGTCTAATCGACTCTGAATTCTTGATGGGGTTCCGATCGGACGTCGAAAACGACTCATCACCCACGTACAAAATACGTTTGTATAATTTGTTTAGACAGATAGAGAAGGAATTCGATTTACTGTATCAAGAGAATCAAAGTTGTAAGTTCCTGATTATTTATACTTACACGTGTTTAAAATCCATGAATTCTTTATTGAATTGAGTTTGATTTTTCAATGATTTAGGGTGGATTCATAAACTACGTTCAGTTCGCGCTCAGTTCGAGTTGGCAAGATAACCACAAATTCCACAAAATAAAATTATATTTTGGTGTTATTTTTGTTTTAATTATATTTGTAGATGGTGTTGGTTATAAAATAATTATGAATCCGTTATAATTTCTTATTAAAAACATACTTACCGTGTCATTCTGCTCTGTTTATGTTGAACTCGAACTGAGCGTGAACTGAACGCGAACTGAACATAGTTTATGAATCCACCTTTATGGCTAATATATGATAACATAATTCATTAATTCATATTTTTAATTATTCAGAAGTTGAGTACCACCTATAATAGGCTATAATGGAATATGTTAGCTAATAATAAAATATTTGTGGCCTCTCCTTTGATTTAGACCCTTTTTTAGTGCATGAAAAAATCGAAATACTAAACGAAAAATTAGAAAGAGATACCTATGATAAACCAGACTGTGTTGACTTTGATAGTAACCTTTCTAAAGTATTAGGCAAAAAATGTAAGTACCTAACAAATTTATGAACATACCTTTTAATATTGATTATGTAACTTAAGATTTGCTATTTCTAGTCAGCACTTCTGGCCAAAAGAACAAAACTGCTCACAAATTGAAGGCTCAAACAAGTAAAATAGTGTCGAGTTTTAAAGCTCCCCAATTTGCGTTTGGGTTAATAAGAGAGTACATCGGTCATAAGGATGGTATATGGGAAGTTTCTGTTGCTAGGCCTGGTATACCAGTCATTGGTACTGCATCAGCAGGTAAGTTAATTTATGTTTTGAGTTTAAACTAATTTAAATATGTATAAAAAGTATAAATATATATTTAATAGTAACAAAACAGTATCAAAATGTAATTCCATACAAGAAAAACTGACAATACAATTATTGAAATTTTGTTTCTTTTTCTATATTTCTTTTATTGGCTCATTTGACCTTTGTTTTTTGTTTTTTCCATACATCATAACTATTTTACATCGTAATTAATTCAATATTTAGTTGTCTCATATTATTTACCCTCTTTTCTATAAATATTGTGATTCACAAAAAGTATTTAGACAAATCAATAATAGACTAGCCAGTAATGACATATTTTTTGCAACATTTTTTTAATGTATGCATCTTTTAAGTAAGTTGTCTACTTGCAAAACTGGCTAGCTCCATTTTAGCGAATATTGAAATATTAGTGAAAATATCAGTACTCCTAACTTTGAAGGAAATATTCGTTTCTGAATATCTAGATATGTTAAATTGTATTAGACATAATTTTAGAGACACTTTAAAAAATTCTGTTCCAATAATCAAGACCATCATATGTTTTGTATTATAAAATAAAGTTACAAAACAAAAACAGACTTTATGTTGAGTGTAGCCGGTTTTGCAATGCATCCCCATATTTGAGGGCAAATTTCATTCAGATCAAGTCGCTTATGATATAATCAGAATATACCATGTAATAAGTGTATTTCATAGTATACTATCGCACTTTAAAATTAGAAATTTTTTGAATATAGCTGGTTTTGCAAGTAGACGAATCAAGTTATGATTATTATAGGTTTTTAACATGTCCTAGCCAATTATCTAAGAGTGCTTGCATGCAGCAGAGTCGCCAAGCAAATTTGAATTTGTATTAAAAATGGATGATTTCAATATTAGTAGCAAATTGTATTTTGTTAAAATTAAAAAAAAATCCCAGGAAAAATAATCTGCATACTCCTCCTTCGTGTAGGAAGCTCCCGAAATTATTAATTAAACATGTAAAAAAGAGTGAAGGGTGAAGAACAATTATTAATAAACAGCCTTATTTTTATTGTTAAATGGACCACGAAAAGCTACTTTGCATACAGTAGCGGCGTGCACATACAATGCGATAATTTTTTAAACATGCTTGCACTTTTTTTTACTCGGAACCATTGTACTATGTGAAAATTATTGGGTAAATATATGCGAAAAAAATGTGCATACATTTTGGAAATGTTTAAAATATTTGCATACGCTAGGAAGATCGCAAAATAATCGATTCACTTTAAACAAACGTATGCTATTTCGTTTTTCTTAAACTTCTTAATAAATTATAACGATTTAGCAACTTGCATACAATTCCGACGTTTATAACGATAAAAAATGGACGGAAAAAAATCGAAATAACGAACAATTATTAAACGAATGCTCTTTGGAATAGTGATGAATTTATGTAAGAATATTTAAGTATATTCATTTGCATACGATTCCGATGTGTGCAACGCTGTATATTCATCAATATACATCAATAGGCGTTTTCAGAAACCTACTTTAGATTATAAATCCAGATTACTGGGTTTACCCGATGGATCACTAAACTTAGTGCTGACAGTTGTAAGGGGGTTTCTCGCCTCAGAGAAAACGATTACTTACAAATGACGCCAGTTAACGGGACGGCTCTCGGGCGCCAGATTTTATGTGTTGTTTACTCCACAAACTTTCGAAACGGCGTCGAAAGTACTCGGGTAGTACAGATGGAGATGAAAAATTCCAGGGGTCGTTGGTCACTCAGACACAGGTAATAAGTAACCACAAGTAACGGGCTTTAATCGTGACTTGTGGTGATAAAGAATTTCTCACTGCTGAAATAAAGGGGGAAGTAAATTAGGGATCAGTAACCTCAGTAACAGTCAAGGTAACGTTGACACATATATTGAATTTTAACTATTTACAATAAATAATTTGTAACTAATATTTCAACGCCCACCCTCGCTCGTATTTTTAAAACCCTGAACAAAAAGAAAAACAAACAGATCGGCTTTGATTAGTCTCAATCAGACGGTATAATTAAAATTAAAAGAAAGATGCTCGGTGGCAATAGTAACTAATTCATAAATTGTCGGTTCGGTGGTTGAGCCAAAACGAAACCAAAAACAAAATTACTATTTCAGTTAAAGAAGAAAAATGGCAAATAATTGCAGTCGTAGCAAAAGTTAGCTAGTTAACTGTTAAATCGGCAAAAAGATTGAAGTTAAATATTTTGTTTCGTAAAAGTAGAAATAAAATCACGGTCGTAGAAAAAGTTATCTGGTTAACTATCTAGTCGGTATTGAAACTGAAACAAACCTCCTTGTGTTAGTGAATAGGGAATAGATAAATGTGGTAAGAAAACGGGATAGTATCAATCCTATGAGGAGTGTACTCGCCAAAACCAGCCCGCTCAACATAAAAATGATACTATCATTTTAATCACGGCGCGGAGGTAACTAAAAAAAATAATCAAAAACCGGGTTAGTATTCAATCCTATGATGAGTGTACTCGCCAAAACCAGCCCGCTCAAACATAAGACAAAATATTAAACCGGGTCAGTACTTATCCTATGATGAGTGTACTCGTCAAAACCAGCCCTCTCAAACATAAGAAAAACACTAATATTTTAATCACGGCTAGGGGTTAATCTAAAAAAAATCTAAAACCGGGATAGTATCTAATCCCATGTGAGCTTTCTCGCCAAAACCAGTCCACTCAACATGAAAAATGATACTATTTCAACTTTCGAACTAATTCTATTCCCAAGTAAAGAAACATAAATAATAATAAAAAAAAAAAGTTAAACCAGATTGTGAATATATAGAAACAAAATTTACGGTCGTAGTAAAAGTTAAGTAATTAACTATATACGGAATTTAATTTAAATTTATTATTACTTAAAAAATAGAAACAACATCTGTAACGGTTACTCTTAGTACCGTTATTTTTTAATATTTTATAACTATATTTTTAAAATGATTGTCCCATCTCTATTAGGACCGATAGTTTCATGCTTTCGCTACAAATATTTTATATAGTTATTTTTTGTTTTTTATAAGTTGTATGTTCGGATCGAAAGTGAATTTCGACAGGTATTACTTGAAAAAGTCTTTTACAATAATACCTCAGAACGAGGCAGTCGAGATTATTAAATCTGCTAATATTTAAGTAATCTTAAACAGTATGTGGTATTTTTATTAGTGGTGAGAACCATCAGTATTTCATGGTGAGTAAAAGATTAATATTTACAAGATTTCTGCAAAGATTAACGAAATGGATCGAGATTTATTTAGTTGTTAAAAATGTGTGGTTAGATGTTTTAGAACGTGTTATTAATTTCTGTAAAGATCTATTTTTTATTCATTCTGTGTTCAGAAACATCTTACCTCCTTGTTCCTTATTTTTACTTATTACGTAAACTTCAAAAAGGTCTCAATCTTTTAGATAAGTCAACCTTTGGATGGTTTTTACAACTACGCTGAGAACATAGTTTAAAATATATTTTTTTAAACAAACGCTGAGAAGACAGTTGAAAATATGTTAATTTATGGTTAGAAGACAGTTGAAGTTATGGTTACAAATATGTTGATTTATGGTTAGAAGATAGTTGAAGTTATGGTTACAAACATGTTAATTTATATTTAGAAGAAGACGCATCGATGTAGGAGACCGTCCTTATTTGAGAAAGATTGAAGACCTACACCATTCCTACTTTGAGATAAGTTTCATTTTTATCTTTGAAAAATTAAATAAAAAAGTAATTTAAATGAATCATGGCTTGTGTAGATTGTAATTGTTACTTGCCTGCATAAACATATACATATAAACACAAGGGATATATCATCCTTAATAAAAATATCTAAACTGATTTTTCAATGGTTTATTTCACGATCAAGTATTCTCAATTACAATGTTGCTGTGGTATTGCCACTGTCTATTCGCGTAATACCCACTGCGCTGGTCTGTCTTCTCCCGCTCGTCCATCCTGACACGCATGTGTATGGACTTCAAGAATGTATGGTGGGGAGTATAGAGTCATATTAATTATATTTGCCAAACTATTATAATTCACCTTAAATGATATGTTTATGTAAGTTTGGTGGCGCCCTCCATACCTTTCCTATAGTTAAGTTTTGTCAAGGTTATTAAGTGCTACTCACGGCCCTAATTAAAATTGAGCTAAAACACGGTAAGTAAAACCAACATCACATGTTACACATCCACGGTCGCAATGAAAATTAAGTAATTAACTGTATACGGAATTTAATTTGAAATTAGGTTTACTATTACTCTGAAATAGAAATACAATCCACGGTCGCAATAAAAATTATATAATTAATAAAATAGAAACAAAATTTCTATTTCCTAATAACCAAAACTAATTTCCAATGTTTCTAAATAAAATCAAAACTAAATAATTTATCTGTAAATCAAAATATTTTTAATGAAAATCTAAAGTCAATAACTACGGTTTCGGCGATGATTTTACAGCGTATATCGAAGCAGACTTTTCGAGGTCGGATAAATGAATTTAAGCTGGTCGAATCAGTAAAGTGAATGATTTTTAATACTGAATTCTGAATCCGAGTCTCTATGCCCAAGCAGGCTAGCTCCCCACTCGATGTGCGCGGATCGCGCGCGCTATCGTTACTCAGGTATAATACGTGAATTTAAATGAAACAAAATTTGATATACAGGGTCTACCCATGAAGTTAAAATAAAATTAAAATTTATATCCGGAATAGGCCGAAATATAGTAATGAAAATTGACTTCATTACACAGTTTATGAACGAGTTGGATTGTTGTCCATGTTTATCTACGTTTACTAATTTTTGACTTTTCCCACGTAACAGTCAATTATATGCAATTATTTGTTTAAGAACTATTTTTAACCGATTTCAAAAAAGGAGGAGCTTCATAATTCGTTGGAATATTTTTTTTATGTATGTTCAACTATAATTCTCTAACACTGTCCGATTTCAATGATTCTTTTTTGTTAGAAAGGGCGCACTTTAGGGATGGTCCCATATACATTTGGTCAAGATCTATGATAAATCAGCAAATTCAATTTGTAAAGACATCTACACGATTTTGGAGTCGCTTTTTAAAATTACCTTTATAATTTATAATTAGATTAAAAAAGTTGGATGTAAGAATTCTTAGCTCATGTCATGGACATCTTTCCACCATGTCAAATGTTATTGTATAAATAGATATTATCATATTAGGTTGATTGAAAAGCAAATTAAACTGTATGCACACAAATTAATGTTTTGTGTTTAATTTATTTTCCTAATTGGACATTAACATTAATATTTGCCAAACGGTTACGTATTCGAAAATATTAACGTGAAAATTTAACACCAACATTCTTTACCAATCAAGTCAAAATAGTTTTAATCATTACTATGCCAACAAAGAAAATTTTCAGAAATATTTTTTATCCTAGGTGAATACACTGAAAATATCTTTCTGTCAAATGCACAGCTTACTTCTCTCTTTTACATTTATTATTGACGTTTTAATTTAGCGAAGCTGTCATTATAACATGTAGAAACAGATCTCCTGTATTAGCAATTCAATTATTTGAAAAATACACAGTCCAACTTTAATAAATGATAAAACTTATTTAGTAAAATAAAATGATTCTGTTTTTTTCATTTTTATTCAATCTCAAGTTCAAAATTTGTCATTGCATAGATTCATTCAATAAAAATTATGAACAAAATTAATTATTTTCCAACAAGCTTCTTCAGAGTTTATTTATGTTCAGTTTGTAATTTTTGAAAAAATCCACATATCTATTACACACCGAAATTTTATGCAGATCGTGATATTTTATCATTCATTTCATGAAAGACATAGTAGCATACATTAAATAATTGTTCAAAAATGGCTGCAATTTTTGCAAAATTTAAATTGTTTTTGAAATGGTGCTACACGACAGAACTGTATGCAAATCTTTGTATTGACAATTTACTATATAAACTTTATATTAAATCATTTTTTAAATGTTAAATAATTGTTTCGAGTATAATTACAAAATAAATGGAATGTTAAAAAAATTACCGCAACGCTGTGCAAGCTGCGATTGTATGCAAAGTAGCCTTTCTTGGTACATTTAACAACAAAAATAAGGCTGTAAAAAAGTATACATTTAATAGTTGTTCTTCAATATCTTCTTTTTAATAATTTCGGGGTTCCTACATGAAGGATACGTAAAAAACAATTTTCATGCATTTACTAATCGTTCACAATCATCAATTTTCAAAACATATTCAAATTTTCATGGCGAAGTTGCTGCATGCGAACACATAGATAATTGGCTAGATGTTAAAAACCTACAATATTCATAACTTAAAAGATTAAAAAATATATCATTATCGGCCAGTCTATAAACTCAATATCCAGATTGACACCAACGTTTTTTATGTAGATCATACTGCTTGTTTATGGAGCATAGACAGTTGCAAATGCCTATTGCAATACCAAGGCCATACGGGCTCCGTGAATTCTATCAGATTCCATCCAGCCAAAGATCTTGTTTTGACCGGCAGCGGAGATTCTTCTGCTCACATTTGGCAAGCAGCTCTCAATTGGGACATCCCAGTAAGTTAATATCTCATCTTTACGTCCCAATCTGTTCAATTAGCACATATATTTCGTTTTAGAAGGGACATTCTTCCGAGGAAGAACTGGAAAGCGACGAATTGGACGAAAAAATCGAATCGAATAAAATTGCCACATTGCGAACACCTTTTCAAGAATTATCGGGACACTCTGGCGCCGTATCTTCGGCAGAATGGCTAGCCGGAGCCGAGCAAATTATCACGGCCTCTTGGGATAGATTAGCTATTCTACATGATGTTGAGACTGGACAAATTGTTACCACATTAACAGGTGAGATTTTTCTTGATCTGACTGCTTCTGATTTTTTTTTAATTGTAAATTTTAGTTTAAAGTTTAGTTTAATTATTAATATCGAGATTAGAAAAATAATTGGTCTCAAAACTGATCACTGTGGAACGCTATGTTTAAATTCAAGTTTTTTGAAAATCTACATGATAATTTTATTATTAGTCACCTCTTTGATAAATAATTTTTTTCTACGTTCATGCAAAAAACAAAACTTTATTGAACTATATTTAGTGAAAAAACTGGTTCTTTATTGCATTAGTGCATTAAAAATTTTATTGCACTTATCTGCCATTTTAATACAGAGTTTTATGATCATGACAAACATAAATATTCAAATCGACGCCAAATATTTAGTCCATTTTCATTTTCTGTGAGCTTGTATTACGTTTTAAAAATAATTGCATATTTTATATTATTTTCAATCATTTAATAAATAAATTAATAAAAATTGTATTTATAGTACTTTTTCAATGTTAATCGATGCTAATTATTAGTTATTAAATATTTTGCTATTAAATTACGCTTTTTATTCTTCTGCACTTAGTGTCGCCTTAATAAAACATTTTTTGGTTTTTGCATGAACGTAGAAAAAATATTGTATGCAACTCGTGCTAAAAGTGTTTATTGCACTCGACGTGTTGTCCAACTCGGCCTGACGGCCTCGACAATTTCTCGTCGCGTGCAATAAGCACTTACTTTTTGCACTTGTTACATAAATATCTGACGCAATCAAACGCATTTGAAAAATCGCAAAAGAATGATTTTCTAACATTTTGCTTAGATTTGTGTTAGAGTAAGGAATATTTAAAAAAAAAGATCTTTGAACCTTGAAAATAAAAATGCGGTAATTTCGAAAAATGCGTTTTTTAGGGCACGATCAAGAATTAAATCACGCAGCTACGCATCCTAGCCAAAAATTGGCAGTTACTTCGTCTAGAGATACGACATTTAGATTGTGGGATTTTAGAGAGAATGTCCATTCAGTGTCTGTGTTTCAAGGACACGCAGAGTAAGTATTTTGTCAATAATTTTTTGATTTTACAAGGTTTTTGAACAGTTCCTTCAAAAATAGTCGATTCTGTCTAGTTACAGAGTGAAAATCTATTGTATTTCATGAATTACAAATAATTTCTAATAATTTAAAAGTACAAGCGTGGCGTGAACATTGTGATATGTGACCCAATTATAGACGTATTATTTCAAATACAGTCTAAATAATAATCTGCTTAGTAATAGGTAGTAAGCCACTGATCTGGAGAAATTTGTATGCACTGCACGACCGATAATAATAAATTAGCGATAACGTCGCATCTCCAGAACACTTTTAATTTTTCTATGGAACACCAACCAGAGCGATAGATTCGGGATTCCTTAGACAAATAACAACGAGGTTACTTCCTGTTGAGAAAGGTATAGGTACAACGTACCTCATAACAGTATTCTCAATGTTGCAGTGAGGTGTTGCCAGATCTACTCTACGAAATTCCTCAGATCTAAGGCAAAATCAATTAAAGTGGCTTACTATCACGAAAGTTATGGTATTTACTTTATTTGTTGAGGTAGGTGACGTATAAGGGTTTGATGGGGGTAAATATCGTCATTTAAGTTCCCGCTTTTTATCCTAGAAACAATTTCAAGCATTTTGTGAAATATTGTAAGTTCATGAGGTACAGCTATAGTACCTTTTTAAATTATCACCCTGTATTCAATTCGTCTGTTACAGGAGCGTAACTTCGGCTGTCTTCACCCGCGAAGACAAAGTAGTGTCCAGTTCGGACGACAGGAGCGTCAAAGTTTGGGACTTGCGCAACATGCGGTCGCCAGTATCAACGATACGAGTCGATTCAGCCGTCAATCGTCTAAGCGTTTCCGTCAACGGTCTAATAGCCATACCTCACGATAATCGTCACATCCGCTTATTCGATTTATCCGGGCAGCGATTGGCCAGATTGCCTCGATCTAGCAGACAGGGCCACAATAGGATGGTGGCTAGCGTAGCTTGGGCAGAAGACGTAATTTCCGGTGTCAATTTGTTTACGGCAGGGTTCGATAGGAAGGTGCTGGGATGGTCGGTGCAGTCGATGAAAGATTAAATTATACTGTTTAAGAGGGTATATAGTGTGTATACACACTGGATAATAGGGAAAATGAAAGATTTTTTTGTATTTAAAGCGTGCGGAAGGGAAAATTATATTAATTCCGTTTATATAATACAATTGAGTTGAACGGTTACCGTGTTTAAGCCATCATCAGGATATTGAAACGATTAGTTAGTTAGTAAGTACAAAGGAATTATAGATAGATAGCTTTATTAAAATAGGTACATCTTAATTATTAACAGAAATATAGAATAATTATATAAACATAAGGTACTTATAAAAAATATTAAATAATTATTAATTGTATTTGTTGAAAAATATGCCAAAACATGCACAGGCCAAATGTTCGTTTTTTTTACCTTAAACGTCCAAATTTGTAATTGATTTCTTGTAGTAAATACTGCTAAATAACAATATTAGACTATCCGTAGAACAATAAACCATACAAAATATTTTCGTAAACGCTTTTAATTTCTTTGCATTTATTTTTCAAAATTTTAAAACTATTGGTGACATGGGAAAAAGCATAATATATACCATCAAGAAACAATTTCAAAATATGCTAGCAAAACCATAAAAAAACTAAGTCACGTGTAAAAGCAGGCAATATAATCCCTGCCCATATTTCCTTCTGGCGCATACAAGTGGCAAAGTTTTTTTTTTGTTTTTCTAGCAGATTTTAGAGGTTGTTTCTTGATGTTATTGCATACTCTATTATGTTATTTGACGAGTAACTGTTAATAAAATTTTCTCAATAATTTGCACTTATTAACTAATCTTTTCAGTGCCCCGATGACGGCTAAAAGGCCGAAAGCGCTTGACTTAATTTTATTAAACTAACGAAATTGTATCAATACAATTTCTGCTTCTGCACACTTTAAATACAAAAAATATATTTTATTTTCTTATTCTATTATTGATTCGAATTATCGATAAATGGTACAATGAAACCGTTGTTTGAGCATGAGTGGTTTGAATTTGTGATAATATAGCTAATGGGTTTCTCATCTATGTTACGCCTATCTGTTAAGATCGCTTTACATCTATCAATTTATTCACGATAAATGTTAAGTTCGATGTTTCACATATTTCTCCTCAATTCAATCTTTTAAATCGGAAATTACCGATTTAGGGGAAAACCAGCACGTCGAATTGCTCCGTAATTGTATTTCTTAATGACCTATGTAATATTTTATTTTCATCGTTAAAAATTAAATTTTCATGCAAGTGCAGTACGCAAATAATAACGGATATGATATCGATATCTGTAATTATAACTGTTATCGATTCTATATAGTAGTGAGCAAGTGAAACTTTGGCACACATTTACACAAGGCTAAATTATAAAGATGTACTTAATTCTTATCCTGCAATAATCGATCTAGCGCTGAAACGCCCTGTCAGCAAGAAAGAAGGTACTGTGAGCCGAATTTGAAGAAAGTGGCAGCAAATTTTGTTCCACTCACTTTTGATGTATATCTGAAAGTTTGCACTTTGCACTTTTATGACAGCATTTTCCACACAAGGTTTTTTAAAACGCCATCGTCGAAGGCTCCATCGCTGCACAGAAAACTATTTCCATGTTTCCACAAGGTAAACGAAATATTTGTAATTTTACCTTTTGCAAATAACACACCTAAAAGTGTTACTGGCTTCCCTACCATTACTATTAGGGTAGGAAACGTAACAACAATAAATATTGCTGATTTTAGGCGGAAGTAGATGCGTTTGAAGTATGAGTAATAGAGAACATCAATAACGGGAAAGGTCTATTTTTAACCAACAAATCGCAAATATACTTTTGACAGAAATAACTACATAAATTGTCAAATGTAAAGTTTGCAAGTGTAACGTTGTCTAACCCAAAATGTTTTCCAAACTAAAACCACCCATGCTTAACAGGGCACAAAATTAAAAGTATGCACAATATTTTTCAGGATTCGAAATTATTGATCACCACAATTACCATAAGTAATTACAAAAGGTTTTTTCTTATAGTTTCACTGCCTCTCTAGTTTTCTTTTTTGTTTAATGGTAAGTGAAATATCGAGTCAATTGACCTAGTAAAGTTCCGTCAAAAATGTAACGAAAATGGTGATGACCGTAAAAAAATATAATCACTATTTATATATCGGTGCGTTGATGGAAAAGTGTAATTCAAAAATATAAAATTTCTTTCCATAAAACAAAATAATGCAAAAACATCACAATATAACTTAAACTCAGATTGTGTTAATTGGGACTACCCACAAAGTTCTAAGAGACAGACTACGTAAATTTCAATGGAAAGGGATTACCAAAGGTGGTTGGTATAATCGCGAACAAAAATTCTATCCGACATCCCAGGTACGATAATCTAATCTACATAGAAACAATCAATAATAGGGTTTATTTGTACAAGAAAACATTCATTCAATTAGAAGAAAATTGGGATAAAAACCATTATTGATTAAAAATCCCGCGCAAAACACCAGGTAGAATGACTACACATTGTTACAACGTCGCCAAGTATAATACCCTAAAGATGAATCTTTTTAAAACATTTGTGTTTTCTTCTCGTAATGCGTATAATTTCAATGGTTTGTATTTTTGTTCTAGCTGTCTTGTCTTATTTGACTTGTAGATGTTTTCAAATTAGCTGAATCTGTATTCACAAATCCACGATTCATGTTCAATACTTACAAAGGAAGCATACATTTTTGCTGATTGGAACGAAATCTCTGCGTTAGGTTGAGAACTTTTCACCAAACCCTCGTATACAGGGCGGGCCACCGGTAACGCCTCGGTCTGTTGATCCAAAACTATATGATTTTTTTTAAATCTGTGTTCCCAGCAAGATGTATATTAGCAAGGGCAATAATTTAAAAATAATTGCAATTATACAAGATTTTCCAAGAAAGTGATACATATCAAAGTTAGGTTTTTTAAATGGAACACTCTGTCTTTTATTTTATATTTGAATTACCCTCGCTTTTCCCATTATAACAATAGCAAATAGTATGAGATTATACAGGGTGTTTTACACGCTATAAAACAGTTTTATATGAAAATCGTATTGATTTCAGTGACCTGTATAAGTGTATAATGCAAAAGAAACAATTGAAAACCAATTTTTTTGCGGTCATTAAATTCAATACGATTTTCATATAAAACTGGTTGTACCGAGTGAAATACCCTTTATAATCTCATTCTATTTGGTATTGTTATAATAGGAAAAGCAAGGGCAAATAAAATATAAAATAAAATACAGGGTGTCCCATTTAAAAAACCTAACTTTGATATGTATCACTTTTTTGGAGAACCCTGTATAATTGAAATTATGTTAAATTGTTGTCTTTTCTAATATATATCTTGTTGTGAAAACAGATTTTAAAAAAAACTGAATATGTTTGGCTCCACAAACCAGTAGCCCACCCTGTATACGAAATTTCTGTCATTTGGTTTATTAGGAAATATAATAATAATGCAAATATTTTATATGCGCGGGGTTTAGGTGTGTAATCAATTTTACTCCAGGTAAATATAGAAATTATATCTACCGACCCCTAAAAAATATTTATATCCACTCCTCACAATAAACCTCATTGTTCTACCTCCAATCCAATGCTTTCATGGCCATTATTTCATGTTCTTGTCCATATTTAGTAGCTTTATTGCCATGAAATGTGTTATATAAAATATTTTTTCTAATTTTGACATATAAAAGTGACATTTTTTGTAATCGCAGCGTGTCAAAAACTGGTTTCGAAAATAGTATATTATGCAATGATCATATAATAACCTTTACATGAGAGTTGCATACGCTATTTTTTCTACACCCGATAAATAATCAAGAACTATAAAATATTTATATTTGTATTGAACACAATAACAGTAATTACTCGTATTTCTATAAAAAAATCTACAAAATTGTAATTCATGATATTACCTCGGGTATTGGTATTACCATAAATTTTTGGGGCAAAATATTTTGTACTGTATTTTCTGCTTTCTCCGATATGTGTGGAGGAGTCGATGGTAAGTCTATATCGCTGATATCAGATATTTTGATAATATAATTATCGAAGTTTAGCTATCTACGAAAATTTAATACGTACTGATTTTAACAACTAAAACAATTACATAGGAACCTAGGACAAACGTCAAATACACAGCTTGCTTGATTGAAAAATTATGGGTTTCTATTGATTAAAAATCTGTAGCGTTATGAAAAATCTGTATCATAATGGGTATCATTATGAAACAGATTATGAGCATATAAGTGCATTATTATAATACGGGTGTAGAAAAAATTCATTATGTCACCAGTTGCGAAAAGAAAACCAATTAAAGTAAAGCTTTTTTTATTGTAAAATCAATAATATACATTATTATTGAAGTTTATATCAAATAAGACAGACTTATAAAATAATGTTGTTTGTTTCCTTGTTTTTCATTCTAGCTTAGCACAAAGTAATTAAAATACAAAACACAACAAAATAACCCCATTTCTTGAAATCTACAAAACTTTTAACGATAAATATAAACACACTACAATAAGTCATTGAGAATAAATGAATACGATTTTCATTTTGTCAATAAAAGAATGAAGTTAATCATATGCAACTAACAATACAAGAAAGTAATATTGGTTGCCTAGATGTCAGTCATTTTTTACCAAAACAATTTTATAAATCTAGTCAAAATTAGAAAAAAATATATGTAACACGTTACGAAATGCCGTTTATTGTACCTCGTTCATATTGCGGGACCTCGTAAATTCATTTTTTGTATATATTTCTTTTAATATACCATGTAGATTTTTCAAAGAGTAATTTTTTTCCATTAAAATTTGTTTGTAACTGGTACAATTTAGAATATCAATGTTGGCACATATAAAATGTCAAAAATAAACAAAATTCTGTATGTATTATTACCATCATTTTTCCCCTTTAAAATTAATTTATCGCTAAAAAATATAAAATCTTGATAAATCACACACTACTGTATTTCATTCGACAATGTCTCTTCCACCTATATACTTTCGTAGCAACAATGATGACCAAGTATATATTACGCTCATTCACCAGGAGGCATCACTTAACGTGGCGTTTTAGCCACTAACTTTGGATATTTTTTAATAGAAAATATTATTAAAAGTTTTAAACAAAATATATATACAACATTTTTGTGGGAAGATATTCCATCAGATATCTTTGGTTTTATATAATCCACACCAGATTTCGATGAGTAAGGTTTAAAAATGTTTTCAAATTACTGAACGTGGAAAAACATTTATTATTTTTAGAGGTGTCACTTTTCCATCAATGTAGCGAACTGCACCAAACGAGTTTATCAATTAATGTCTTTCAATAAAAAAACAAAACACTATAAATCTGAGTTTAGGATAAATTTTATTATTCGTCTAAAAATTAAATTTAGCGATTTTTTATATTTTTTTAATTGTTAGTTGTTTGATTTAAAATCTAAACTTAGCTCTAGTAATTAGAGTGAACACTAGAAAAATGCGTTATCTACAATGTTTAAATTTTTGAATTTTAATTTTACGTTTTAATAAACATCAGTTTCTCATCCCGTCAAAGTCAATTTAGATGTAAATGGTGTTAATTTGTTTTATAGTATTTCCAAGGATACAGTTTGATGTCGTATATGCATTGAATGGTATACCTGTGAACAAATTTTGCATCTAAATTTGTTTTCAACGTTTTAATTGACATTTAAAAGTTACAATCATATAAAACCAACATTGTAATTTAGTTCAAGTTCACTGTATTATAAAGAAAATTTGTTTATTCGTTCTATTTTTTATAATGGACCACCAAAAATTATGTTTTCAAAAACGTAAATTTTTTTTGACTAATATCTAATCTAGTTTAATCGAAGTGTGATACTTATAAGGTAGGTGATACTTACTAGGTAGATTTTTTTATAGGACTAACTAGAAGTATTATTGTTATTTATTTTTTCTCGGTTTTTGTATTCGTTGAACTCTGGTTGTTATGTAAAAATAAACTTTATAAAATATCGCTGTATCGTTTTAATTTATTACCTTTTAGAAAACAATTCCATCTTATTAGAAAACAGAAGATGTGACAATGACACCATGTTATTTAATATAAATTATTTTATTTTTTTTTTTTTTTCTTTAAAAATAGCAAAAACAGCAACATACTTTAGATAAACTTATTTCCTTCAGTAATTTTGGGCATAGAAAAAATACAGTACTTAACTAGAGGTGTTCCCAGACAACACACCAAATCCCAGAGATATCCACAGAATATCTTTTGTGGATATCCAATATATCCACAGGATATCAGAAATATTCCGTGGATCTAATATGGATATCCAAATGTCCGTCTATATCCAGAATATAGAAGATATCATATGGACATCCAGCAAAATATCTAATGAGTATCTTCCAGACAATACAAGAAATCCCAGAGATATCCACAGAATATATTCTGTAGATATCCACAGAATATATTCTGTGGATATCCAATATGGATATCCAACCAAATGTCCGTCTATATCCCAGGATATAGATGAATTCGGATATTCAGCAAAATATTTTATAGGTATCTTTAGTAGAGGTTCATAAGAAACCAATGATTATTGAATAAAGTCGAAAGGAAATAGCAGAGATAAAAAATATTTTCAACACTAAGGAGAAAGTTATCCTTATTAGGACTCTTCAGAAATAAATGGAAATTCTCGACTCCAGTCTCTAATGGATTCTGATTGTGAAACAAATTTCGATCGAACTCAATTACGGCGGGTTGAGCATGAGTAGATGCGAAAGTAGTATCGCCATCTATACTTAGTAAGCAAAATCAAAAATTACATCCAGTGGATATCCACGATGGTTTGTGTTCGCTAGACTTTGATATATTTAGTGAATGTCCATGGGATATTGAATACACCTTAAAAAAATTAATTTTAAATATCTGAACGGTACTATTAGCCACAATGGCGTAATTTTTTAATAATTTGCTATATAATTACTATTATTTATGGACATTTGCATGTCTATAAATTACAGCTCATGGATATAAAATAGATATCCACCATGGACTGGACATTCAGTGGATATTGGGATGTTCAGTAGATATCCAAAGGATTTGGTGTGCTGTCTGGGTTGTAACATGCTTTTTAACAGTACGAAATCTAGAGTTTAAATTCGACTCACCTTATCTAAATAAACTAAAAGGGTAAAATAACGTTATTTATTAGTGCTGATATAAGCTTTTAAAGCTATTATTTTGTTGTAAACTAACAGTATGTGTTGACTAGAGTTTCTGGCTTACTGGTGTCATTTTTATTATTTAATTCATCTTATCAATAGGCAGAAGCATAGGAATATATTCGAGGTACCTAAGTTGTACAATAATTGGCTAATAGTAATTCCTATGTAGTTTTGACCCAACTGGGTTGTTACAATTGTATAAATTCACCTAAAAGAAATCACTGTATCACTACGAATTCATTTATATATTTATTTCTTTACCTCAAGAGAGGTAATTAATTATTAACGAGCCAATCTAAACGAATCAATTTGCTTCTTATTTGAATTAATTAATCAGTAATATTGTTGAAAACCCATATAATAAATTTTAAGGCTTTGTTCTGACGGCTCGAGAACGAGTTGACATACAACCAGTTGACAGAACATGATAATAGAGTGTCATGAGTTGGACTGACATTTCCTTGTTTTTCAAACTTGGAAAGCTACTAGCTGATGAACCCTTTACGAGAAAGGTATGTTTTAAGTATATATTTGGTAATATTGTGCACCTATTCATTGTTTTTTTTATATTGTAGCTTTGCACAATAATTTTAATTATTTGAGTGCATAATACTGTTTATGACTCTTGGCGAGTCAGTGTAGTTTTTTTTATTCATACTAAGTACTTAATAGTTTCTGGTTTACATTTGGGGTAATTAATTGTATAGTTTGGCCATTATAGGGACCCAGTTGGCGCCCATGAATTTGTCTATTTCCGGAATTTTTATAGCTATCCACCCCCTAACTACCGTCTGAGCGACGTCGAAGTCCTGAATGTTGACACCGGAACAACCGAAACTTATGTAACCAAGTAGATAAAAATTTTTATTGGTAATATTATTTTTTAAAGTTTATTTTTAGGCAATTTTCCCACTGGAAGTTGCTAAATACATTAGATAGATTACAATATAAAGTAAACAAATAACTAAAACATATATTTATTGTATTAACCAATCTGTAAAATAGCTACAAGCTTTTGGATTAATCAGCCCCGTCTCGGCACATCTATTAGCAACTGGGCAAATACCGCAAGTCGTCTTAACTATTCCTGCAGAAGGCAGAAACCTATTCACAGCCTTATACACATACGAACCATTCGTAGCCACAATTCTTTCTGCGTTATTATCCAAAACCACTGTATATAAAATACTTTCAATATCTTCCACAGTTAAAGAAACTTTACTGATTCCTAATTCGGAAATAAATTTGTGTACGTCATTTGCTGTGGCGTAACTTCTGTTTCTGGCTAAAAGAGGACCGTTAGATTTCGTATTGGCTTCTTCTAATTTTTCTACTAAAAATCGGTGACATTGTTGGTTTAAAACATCTACGAATTCCGACTCAAAGTCTTGATCTTGATACCAGGCACCTCCGGTCACAGAACTGTCTGGTTCCAAGTCGAAGAGCATGTAAACCTTCTTCTTACTGGCCTGAAAACAATATTAATTCTATTTTTTTTATATACCTGAGATTACAGAAACAGATGATTTTTTCCTGCAGTGGAGGAGAAAATAAATATCTTTATTAAAATAGGTAAACCTAACAAATCTTTTTTTAAATGTTACAAAAAAAAATTAAAATGTAAAATTACAATTTATGACTGAACAAAACAGAAAAACAATTTAAAGTCCAAAATATGTTCATGCTTTTAGCAATGTCATCTTACAAATGTCACTTTTGCAACTATATCCATTTAACTACATAGCTTTAAAGCAATTTCTCACTTCATTTGTTTGCCGACGGAAACATTTCAAAGGCAGTTGCCTTTTGTATGTAGAAAAGAAAGGACATGATGATGAATTACATCTAAATCACAGTTATAATAGTTAAATTCAAATGCAAAGTGGCAATTGCCAATATCCAACATAATTACTTAAATCCATTTGTTTTTACCTGGTTTAGACAGAAAAATGTTGCTTTCACTGAATTCATACGATGATTAAATTGATATTTCAATGTTTGTGAATTTAGTACCAATTTGCTTAACTATCACAAAAAAATGTCGTTTTTCAGCTATCGCTTCAGAGTGAACATAGTTCTACCCATGGGCTCCAACAAGACTGAAGCCTAATGGCCTATTGTATTTGACCCATATTAATTCTTATAAACTGACAATGCTGATATTATTCGTTTCCTGCTCAACCTAATTCTAACTTTCTGTATTTTCACAAGCGTATAAGCGGCCAACACTATATATTTTTTCATTTTAACTATACATCTTTCATGGAAAAATAAATATTGTTCATACCCCCGTTCCTGCTTCTTTTATCTTTTTTTTAACTCAGTTTTAACTGCTCAAAACCTATTAAACATAGTAAAAAATCTATTTACTTACAGTCACCGATTTGACACATTTAATGAGTTTCTTCGTTTCCAAACTTTTTAAAACTTTGTTGAGTTGGGTCATATTTAAATTGGAACCAAATCTAATGTCTCTTATCCATATTCCTTTATTGCCTGCTTCTTCAATGATTTTATATACCAATTTTTCTTCAGCATCTGCTCCTTTTACCATAGTTTTCTTGGAAGGATCTTTGTATTTGTACAACAGGTTGTCTTTAGTTTTAAATAGGTCAAAAATACTGAAAAAAAAAAAAAATCAATATAGAATGTTTTACGTAGATGAAAAAAAAAGTTTAAAGATTTACCCATTTTTCAAGCATTTATTAATAATTGCAGTTATTTCTGTAAGGGGAATATCCGGCATATGCCTTTTTATATCGTCGTTAGATATACCATCTGGATTGGATTTTGCCAACTCTAATAAATTATTTTCTGTTTCATTAGTTTCAGTTGCATTGCCATTTGTAGCAATTTCTTCATTCATTTTTGAATTTAAAATATTTAAAAAGGTTATGTTAGAACAGAAGTAAAAGTTGGAAATGCTTTTGCCAGTTCTCCCACTTTATACACATAAATTGACAGGTTGGCAGCGGATTTCACCGAAGTGGACGCGATACATTGGCGTACAAAATTATTTTATAGATGTTAATAACAATTTCGAGTAAATAGTTTAATAAATTGTGAATAGCTGTTGAAATTTTGTAAAATTATAATTTGAATATTATAATACATGTTTAATAATTATTTATAATCCATAAATACATGCGATTGTCCGGTTCCGCTGATAACAATTTAAAATTACTTATTCTATGAAACGACACTGGCAGGTAAACATTACTGTGAAATTCTCGGAGCCGCCCGACGTGGTTTGACGTTTACCCCCTCTCTACCTACCAAAAGACTTTTCAACTTTTACTTTATCTATAGGTTAGGATCTTCTTCTTGTATTCCTTTTATGGGTAACGTCCTCGAGACAAATCACACGTGTTGCAAATGTCTGTATATTCATTATTGTCGAAGGCTAATGGCTAATAAAAAAGACGAAGAGAAGAACCTAACCCTTGTAATCAACTTTCCCACTAAATTTTAAATACAAATACAACAAATGAAACTGCAATTTAACTAAATATGAACGTTGAATTGTATAATAACATTATTTCTTCAATAAGAAACCATAAAGGTCTCTCTATGGATTGTATGAAGCAACTTGTCCAAAAATTTCCAGAGTAAGTAATTTTTTTTATAAATACTTAAAAAAACAGAAATTTTGATTAGTTGTAGTTACGATACTTTATGCAGTATCTTGCAATTCGAATACCAAAAGAGAATGAAAGTAAACCACACGAAAATGCACAGCAGCAAACTCAAAATTTGGGATTCGTATAGTAGTTCAATTGCATCAAACGATCATTCCGGAGTAATAGTAAGAATTGCGGAAAATTTAGACGTCGCGCCTTGTTTGGTAGCTAAAATTATTTTACACAAATACTTTGAAGAGAATTACAATAAAGACAATGAAGAGCAACAACCTGTTACTAACGTAAATGTTTATTTGAGAGATACTACGCTTATATCGGACCCGAGATTGGCATACGAGGTGTATTTGGTAGGTTTGAAATTTTTTTTTTCGTTTAAGTGTAAATTTAATAAAAACATGTTTTTAGTGCACTTTGTATGATAATATGTACAGTCCCATAGTGGATGTCATGAAAAGGTAAATATTTTTAAATAATTATGAATGAAATACAATACGTTTGTGATTTATAGTGTAGTATTTACTCAGGGTCGTCTCTAAAGGGGCAGCCGTGTAGCCAAAGGGGAAAAAAACTCAAAAATATCCTCACACTTAATTTTCATCTTTTGCTGACTGAGTTTATTAGTTGGGGTCCAAGGGTACCATAAACTCCCCCAAATGAAAAAATATGTCCATAATATTAATTGTACAAAAACTAAATTCTCTAGCCTCTAGTGGAATAACTAGAAATTCGTGAACATGTGAAAAATAATGTTGCTTGGCAATCACTCTAGTAAATATTCTGCTCTGTTGTTTACTTATTAGCCACTAGTTTTAAGACAGTGTTTTTAGTAACTATATTCTTACTATTTACTTAATATTTTAAATATTAACTTTTCTTTTATCAATATGGTTTGTACCAAATTTTATCATATTTAGTACATAAATTACTTAAGATTTAAATCAAAAGTTGTTTTAACCTAAGAGTTACAAAGTTATTTACCCATTTTCTCCAATTAATAAGATGTGTGACTTAGCTCTTTTCACCACCAATACGACGATATTTTAAAATGAGTCTTTTTGTTGTCATTCACTGTTTGCCTCAGAGTCACTATACCTACTTACTTGAAGACTTTTGAAGTATTACTGTTATTGTTTTTAACAACCGTTTAAACTATTTGAGCACCTGTTTCCTTTTCTGTTATATTTTTACATTCAACTTTTTTATTGAAATTCTTTCTTTTAATACAGACTTCTTGTATAGAGCAAGAAATAGAGATTTTCCTGTGAAAAATTTGAATAATGCTAAAAATTGGTATGTTGGTCCAATTCAATTGTTCCTGAAGCTATTTATTTTATTTATTTATTTATTTATTTATTTATTTATTTATTTATTTATTTATTTATTTATTTATTTATTTATTTATTTATTTATTTATTTATTTATTTATTTATTTATTTATTTATTTATTTATTTATTTATTTATTTATTTATTTATTTATTTATTTATTTATTTATTTATTTATTTATTTATTTATTTATTTATTTATTTATTTATTTATTTATTTATTTATTTATTTATTTATTTATTTATTTATTTATTTATTTATTTATTTATTTATTTATTTATTTATTTATTTATTTATTTATTTATTTATTTATTTATTTATTTATTTATTTATTTATTTATTTATTTATTTATTTATTTATTTATTTATTTATTTATTTATTTATTTATTTATTTATTTATTTATTTATTTATTTATTTATTTATTTATTTATTTATTTATTTATTTATTTATTTATTTATTTATTTATTTATTTATTTATTTATTTATTTATTTATTTATTTATTTATTTATTTATTTATTTATTTATTTATTTATTTATTTATTTATTTATTTATTTATTTATTTATTTATTTATTTATTTATTTATTTATTTATTTATTTATTTATTTATTTATTTATTTATTTATTTATTTATTTATTTATTTATTTATTTATTTATTTATTTATTTATTTATTTATTTATTTATTTATTTATTTATTTATTTATTTATTTATTTATTTATTTATTTATTTATTTATTTATTTATTTATTTATTTATTTATTTATTTATTTATTTATTTATTTATTTATTTATTTATTTATTTATTTATTTATTTATTTATTTATTTATTTATTTATTTATTTATTTATTTATTTATTTATTTATTTATTTATTTATTTATTTATTTATTTATTTATTTATTTATTTATTTATTTATTTATTTATTTATTTATTTATTTATTTATTTATTTATTTATTTATTTATTTATTTATTTATTTATTTATTTATTTATTTATTTATTTATTTATTTATTTATTTATTTATTTATTTATTTATTTATTTATTTATTTATTTATTTATTTATTTATTTATTTATTTATTTATTTATTTATTTATTTATTTATTTATTTATTTATTTATTTATTTATTTATTTATTTATTTATTTATTTATTTATTTATTTATTTATTTATTTATTTATTTATTTATTTATTTATTTATTTATTTATTTATTTATTTATTTATTTATTTATTTATTTATTTATTTATTTATTTATTTATTTATTTATTTATTTATTTATTTATTTATTTATTTATTTATTTATTTATTTATTTATTTATTTATTTATTTATTTATTTATTTATTTATTTATTTATTTATTTATTTATTTATTTATTTATTTATTTATTTATTTATTTATTTATTTATTTATTTATTTATTTATTTATTTATTTATTTATTTATTTATTTATTTATTTATTTATTTATTTATTTATTTATTTATTTATTTATTTATTTATTTATTTATTTATTTATTTATTTATTTATTTATTTATTTATTTATTTATTTATTTATTTATTTATTTATTTATTTATTTATTTATTTATTTATTTATTTATTTATTTATTTATTTATTTATTTATTTATTTATTTATTTATTTATTTATTTATTTATTTATTTATTTATTTATTTATTTATTTATTTATTTATTTATTTATTTATTTATTTATTTATTTATTTATTTATTTATTTATTTATTTATTTATTTATTTATTTATTTATTTATTTATTTATTTATTTATTTATTTATTTATTTATTTATTTATTTATTTATTTATTTATTTATTTATTTATTTATTTATTTAT